TGGTGATGGACGGTGACGGTGATGGTGGACGGTGGTGGACGACGATGGCGGTGGACGGTGGTGATGGTGGTGGACGGTGGTGGTGGTGAAGAGAAGTAGAAGAAAAAAAATGGAGAAGATGTTAAAAGATGTTAGAAGACATAGGTTAAGGTCTTCTCCAAGAAGATGCCATGAAGACATTTTTGAGTGAAATGTATTCCAAAAAACAAATAATCTGCAGAGCTCAGCATCTGCCCGGCGCAGACATAAGAGGCCAGAAGCTCTTCTGGCCAAAAAACAAACCGTCCTAAGAGTGTCAAATTTATAGAAAGTAGTGTATACTTCGTATATGTTATGGAGTACTCTGCATAAAAGAGCACGGCCAAAAACTACTGTAGTACATCTGCAATGGATTAGATCAGTATCTCAACTTAATTCCTTGCAAATTGCAATTGTTGTTCTTTGCTTCCTCTTGTGCACCAAATTGCGTTTAATACAGACGGCGAAGCTATTGACGAAGAACACTTTCAATTTGCCCAGTCGATTTTCCCGTCTCTTGGCCAGTGGTAATGAAGCTTCCTGATTTTCTTTTTTGTTTGAGATTATTGATATCATTTTCCCATCTTTTGGAACCCCTTTTTTCTCGTTTTATTTATTATCAAAATATAGCATTTTGACCCAAAGACTGCAGCTTTAAGTAGGAATATGCTACATGATATGAGAGCGTGTTGGTTAAGGGTTAGACCCTTTTTTCACTCTGGGATTGGGCAATGATCAAATGATGATGTAAAAGGCATGATCCCAGTGCCTTTGTTTATTTCCCCCCCTTCATTGTAATCTTTGTGTAGACTTTTTCTGTTGGCTTTGTCTATTATGCACTCATTGCTTTTTTTAAAGTTTGAATCGAGATATAAGCTGCCTGGGTTTTCTGTAGACAGACATTACAATACTTGTTGTTTCTAGTTGTCTTGCCAGTTTTAGAACACTCTTTGCCTAAAGGGGAATCAAAAGAATGCTTGTCCAAGATTTGGAATTTTAGTGTCAAAAGATTGGTCCTTATTTCTTGGATGTTTTTGAAGGAAATTGACTCAAGAGCTTCCTAGCAAACACTTCTTTTTGCAGACATTATTTTCTGCTACTACTGCAATGCCCTTCCCACAAGGACCAACCACTTATGATGAGGTCTCAGTGCCACAAAACATGCTGTTAACCGATAGTCTTGAGGTACTTTCTCGTTATGGCTTTTAACAAAGCTAATGCATAGTTTCTTTTATACTTGGCTATAATAAATAGAACAGCTGCAGAAATAATAAATTTGGCATCCTTTACATTGCATTTTGGGAAACAGTTCTACCTTACACCCCTGAATATGTTGCAAAACCTATGGTTCTGCAATGACATATGGCATGTTGCGGAACTTAGCAATGCATTTTAGTAGTGTTTAAATTTTGATTACATTTCTAAATCTCAAAGGAACATGGCATGTTTGGGAGCATTGTTTCTTTTCTTAATAGGGAGGAACCATTCAAACATGTTCTTTGTTCTTTATTTTATTTTATTTTATTTTTTGTCTAGTTATTCTTGCGGTCATTGCATGATATGCAAGTTGTTTTTACAAAAACAATCTTGTAATGCAACATGACTAGAATAATCATTTCGACCCATCGTTTTCTCATGATATTTTTCATTCAAGTGGAAATAATGTTTCAATTATCATCTCATAACAAGGTTATGACTCCAAAAGTCTCGCGTAAGACTTTGTCTATATATATTTTGCATGAATTTAGTTTAACAAAATTAATTAATTAGCATTATAAATTCATGCCACCGAGCAAAAGTAGTTGGGATTACAATGCCAGTGATGATGATTTGTGCAGTTAATTTTGAGGTAAGTGTTATGATCATAATTACAATATTTATTTTCAGGACTTGGAAAGTCTCAGAAAACAACTGTACTCTGCAGCTGAATATTTTGAGTTATCTTATTATATCAACCATGATCAAAAGCAGGCGTGAGTTAGTTTAAATTTTCTACATATCACCTTACTATTATCTTTGCTGCTGATGTGAGACATTTAAGTGCGGTAGATGTTTCCAGACCTTCCATTGCCTCACTATGTAATATTGTTTTCTTCGCTTGCATTTTTTCTTTTTCATTGTTTATTATTTTTTGTTTGTAGGGTTAGGTTACGGAGTACATGTTAATAAATGCTAATATTGCTCCACTCTAATTTTATTTGCCTCCAGGTTGTAGCCTCAACAGATTAGCCGCATGTCACAAAGTACAGGGTGCTAGTTTCTACCCGAAAACATGGAGCTGTAATAATTGCGGATTTGTTTAAGATGAAAACTTGTGAATATATAGCTCATGTAAGAAAAGTGTTTCTTCTTTCTAAAGTATAGGGTGCTAGTTTTTGCCCAGAAACATGGAGCTGAAATAATTGCGGATTTGTTTAAGATGAAAACTTGTGATTTGGCTGCAAACCGCATGTAATAGCTAATGTAATTTTTTTGTGTGTTTATACACACACACACACACATACATATACATATACATATATACACATACATACATATATATATATATATATACACATATACATATATATACATGCATATATATATATATATACATACATACATACATACATACATACATTCATACATATATATATATATATTGTATGTATATATATGTATATATATATATATATATATATATATATTCACAAGTTTTCATCTTAAACAAATCCAAAATTATTTCAGCTCCATGTTTCTTGGCAGAAACTAGCGCCCATTACTTTGTGACATGCGGCCAATGCATTGAGGCTACAACTAGGAGACACAGAAAGTTGGAGTAGAGAATTATTAGCATTTTTTTAGATGTACTCCGTAATCTAATCCTACAAACCAAAAATAATAAACTTTGAAAAAGAAAAACGGCAAGAAAAAAAACACTATTACATACTGAAGCAATAGAAGGGCTGGGACCTGGAAACATCCGCCGCACTAGGATGTGTCACATGAGCACCAAAGATAATAGTAAGGTGGTCTGTAGATAAAGGCAATATACTCTGCACAATGTGTTCTAGCAAGTTCAATCTCTTCTATTTAGCTTGGTTCTGAAGTTTCATGCTTATACAGAGTGGTAAATACATTGAAGGATTATGCCCTCAAAGCTCTTTTTAACACCGTTGATCATTTGGGCTCTTTGACATTTAAGGCCAATGATATGTTGGAGGAAAAGGTAGTCGAAGTTTCTGGAACAGAACTTCATATATCTTGCATTGAGCAGGTGATCCTATGACACATTTACCAAGTTTTCCTTTCTTTTGTGGAAATTTGTTTTATATTTTTTGGATGCTTTGTCTATGAGGTATGATGGTAAAACTGTTCCTTCTTCCTAATTACCATAATGTTAGATATGCATAGTGCTAAAACCAAAGTTCAAGAATGAGGCTTCAGTGGGAATTTTGATCGCTAGCCAATCAACTCTTGGCTATGTATGTGTAGTTTGCTGCAATGGACACATAATATGGACCGTTTGAAACTCGTAAAATGCTTGGGGAAAAGTAGTGAGGAAATAATATAAGAAATCTGGACTGAAAGAACATGCAGTGGATAGAAGGGCTTCAAAGTCTATATCTTAATCCTGAATATTTGTTCAACCTCATTTTATTTAGATATTTCTGTTATATAAAGACTTTGAAATCTAAGTACATATAAAATGTTATTCCTTACTTTTTTAAATCAAATTTGATTTTCCAAGGTAAAACCAAACCTTAAATGAATCAATTAGCATTTCTGTTTATCCTTTCCCTACCATTATCCGAGTTCCAAACACAGAAAATATGTCATGAGAAATAACGTAGCATTGAAGATTGAGTGTTGGGAAATAAAAGCTATTCAAAGATGAAAGTAGAGTCCAATAGCTCTCTCTTGGTTGCTTAAAAACTTCATGATGATGGGTGTAATTGTGAGGATAGAGGGAGTATACGGGCTTTAAATTTCATGAGCATTCATTCCCAGAGACTAAGAACATGCCAAGAGTATATTGATCAGCAGGGTGCTTCTCAGCAAATATTAAGGATAACTACGCCCAAGCACTATAAAAGGTACATCTTGCCAGGTAAGTATATTTGATTTTTCCCTCACAAAAATTGAGTCTCAGCCATAGTTGTCTTCTTTTATCCAATGAAAGTTTAACTTTTATTTTATTAGTAGGGGAACCCAGGTGTGATCTCGATGGTGATGAAGGTGTCGGGCATCAGTTTCAAAATGGTATTTTTACTCTTTTATACACACACACACAGATATATATATGTGTGTGTGTGTGTGTGTGTAAATAAGCAATGCATGTTTGGTGGTGGGTGTATCATTCAAATGCTGAAGGAATTGAGATATTATCTGCAGGTGTTGAAGCAACAACTATTAATGGCGATGCTCCACTGGCGGTTGCCTGCGGGTAAGTTGTGTTGTTACTTTTCCTAATTCATTCATCATTAAATTTGTAACTCAGTTCATCAAAATTTGGCTATATGCCTAACAGAAAAGGGCACTCTCCATCACCTTCTCTGAAGCAATCTATACCATCATCTTTGTCCACTGGCATCATGCCTAAAAGGGAGTTAGGTTCGTTCCCTTGCTGCATTCACCTCTTTGAGTCTGTTTTGCATTAACTTTAGAGTTTTGCTTTAGCATTTTGAGAAAATTATCCAACTGTAGCATTTATTTTTAGCAGTTTCAAAGTCAATATGCACCATTAGAAAAGTATTCCAAGCACCAACCATAAACTTTGTTTTTACCTTCTATCCATTATTCCCTTGACCAAAATTACACTAATTACTACTTAATCTCTTGCATTTGTTTAATTGGATCAGAGAAGCGAACAGGGTCACCGCACCGTTTTCGTCACTTACGAACTGCATCTCTTCCTACTAAACCCAAGAGTTCTCGGCCTACCACCCCGGATCCAAGCAGACCGCCTACTCCAACCCCAACTCCTCCAAAATCACAGGTAAGCTCATATCTTTTGTATCTACTGTGACAAAAAAATTTTTGGCAACAACTGTGACAAAGTTAGTTCATTAAATTGTATTTACAAAATTCTGGTCTAGGAACCCTCCCCCCACCCACACCCACACACCCACGCACACAAACTTGTGATTGTAAGGTTCAGGTTACTTTTGTTGGTCCAATTTTCTATCTTTTTTATACACTTTTCATCCGAAAATTATCTTCTAGTTTGACTTTTGTGGTCTCTTTCACCACCAATTAAATATAGTTTTAAATAATTAAATTTCATATAGGTTTGATGTATCAAAACTACATCTTATAATGAACCCAATTATATTAAATTTACATTATAACTAAATACATTTTTTTCACTTTCTCAAAAAAAAAAACCAATACTTTTTTTCACATTTTGTGGTCAAAGCGACCAAAAATTGTCTTGGGTGTCTGATTTTGTGGATGATATGTTTTAAAGATGCATACTTCAGAAGCATGGAAACCGACACCGTTGGAGTTCCATGGAGAAAGAGAAAAGACCAGAAACTCTGATCACCGCCCTAGCAAAAGTAAACGTCTTCTTAACGCTTTGCTCAGCCGACACAAGTCAAAGAATGATGACATGCTTTACACTTACATCGATGAATATTGATGACACAAGAACCGCTCTCTTGAAGATAGTAGTAGGCTCCATTTTATGGGGAAGAAACCTTGGGCACTTCCTCTTTCTATCGTTAACAGTCTCTCCACCCTTCACTAGTAGAGGTAACTAATGTATGTGTACATCTTACCCTCCCAAGAACCATCAATGGGAATAGACTGGGTTTATTATTATTGTTGTTGTTGATGACGGTTTTATGTTTTCATTTCATTGTTATTCTTAAGAAGGTTGCAAAAAAGAACATTCAACTTAAAACATTGACACGAGATTATTACTCCCTCCGTCCTAAAACTTTTTTCCCAGAGCACTATTCGTCTATTCCAACTTCACGGGAATTTATATTTATTTGTGTTTTTTCATGGCCTATATGATAAAATAAAATATTCTTGTCACCACTTGTTTTGTTGAACTTTTGATGTTATTTTTAAATATGTATGTTTTATTTTTTATTTCTATACCAGTATTTAAATAAAATAGATTGAAAAAACTTGAGATTTTTCTTCGTTTTGCGCAACGGGAAGAAAGATATAGGACGGAGGTCGGAGGGAGTAGAAGATAGCCCCTTTGATAAGAAAGACATGACTTCTGGACACACCCTTCTTTGTTGTACCAAAACTATATTCATGTTTGTGCTGTGTAATTTGTTTGTTTCATTTATTATCAAATACATCTGCTGGGTATGATAGAGGCAAACTCTGCTCGTAATATCCAATTTTTAGACAAAGATCATATATGGCACTGCACGTTTGCTTATAATTATTGTATTCTGGTCATTTCATGAAAATTACAATAAATAACCTGCAACCTTCATTTGAAGGGTAAATTTCACAAATGGTGTACGAACTTTGAATATAATTTCAATTCGATATACGAACTTCAAATCTTCTCACAAAAATACACAAACTTACAAATTTTCACTAAAAGTCCAATAACAGGTGTTCATGTGGGCTAAACTATAATTTTATAAATTTAAAGTTATAATTTTGACCCTATTCCTTTTTTTCTTTCTTTTAATTTACTCATCTTCTATTCCTCTTCAAATCCCGTCCCCAAATTTTATCTTTTCACTTCTAGACACCACCCCCCACCTCTTCAAATCCCCTCTCCAAATGTTTTAGTCATATTTATCGTGATCACTAAACAAAATAATACGAGTATAATACGAGTACCAAAGTGGAGAGGAAAAGAAATACTCCCTCCATTCCATTTTATATTACTTGTTTTGAATTTGGGACATATTTAAAGAAGCGAAAAAATATTGTTGATTTTCCAAAAATATTCTTACTTTTTTTTAGGGGGGTGACGATGAATAAGAAGACAAGGTGGAGAGGATTGGCTTATTTTAGGGATGGTTTAGGTATTTTACCATTAAAAATTTACTATAATAAGAAACAGACAACTTATTCTGGGACGGACAAAAAAAGAAAATAAACAATTTAAAATGGGACGGATGGAGTAGTACATATAATCCCAATGCCATTTTTCATGCATTGCCCACAAGGGAGCACATTCTTGCGCCTTGTTGCAAAACAAGGCCCAAAAAGCTCTAGTGCTTTTGTAGTTTGGAAAATTGACACTAATATCTTTTTCTGTTTCTGAAATTTATTTCTAATGTACTCGTGGTCCCAAAATGTTGCACTCACACCCTTCCAATTATTTTCCGATGAAGAGGAGGCGCTGGTGCCTATTTTTTAAATCATAAGGGGCACCCACACTCATTTCTTATTTTTTGTTTATTACTTTTTTTCCTTTTCGATTTAAATTTTTTATAATGTTTTAAAAAATTTAAAAATCTTTGTGTTGATATAAAAATTAAAAAAATTAACATATACTCCATCTATCTCAAATTAAACATTTTAACTTTTTATTTTCTATAATAATATTTTCTGTAAGTTCAAAAAGAAAATAAAAAATAAAAAACAAAAATAGGGAAAAACGAAATGAAAAAAAAATGGAAACATCTAAAAAATGTTTTAAACAAAAAGAAATTTTTAGAACGCCTAAAAAATCCTTAAAACTGGAATGTTCAACAAGGATATTCATTTTTATTTTATTTTATTTCTTATCTTATTCCTCATTTTTTGAAGTTCTCAAAACAAGTTTTTAATTTTTCTATTTTAGAAAATAAAAAATAAAAATTGTTAATTTAAGACGTACAGATGCAATATATGTGAATTTTCTTTTAAAGAAAAATACTTTTAAATTTTAAGAACATTATAAAAACAATTTTAAAAAGAAATTTTAAACACTTTGATTAATAAAAGAAACAAAAAAGGGAAAAAACAAAAAATGAATGAAAAATAAGAAATGAGCACTATTGCCCCCTAGGTTTGGAAAATAGGTACCAATGTGCCCTTTTTTCCAGAAAAATGGCTGGAAAATGACCAGATGAGATATGGTTGCAATATTTTGAAATTACGAGCACTTTAGAAACCTATACTATATTTAAAAAAAGGGAAATTCTCCTTTGTATTTTTCCTCATAAATGGTCTTCAATCACAAAAGGTAAGTGCTCAATATAAATAGGTTGTGTTATTGTAAAGTAGCGTGTAGAAGGTAATAAATATTTATAAATTATAATGTATCGTGTGTAATAAGTTAAAGTGTCGAGTAAAAGGTAATTATGGTAATTAAATTGCCGTGTAATATATTATTTATTAATAAGGTAATTCCATACCTTAAATTTTTTAATACCGTGTTATAAAAACTATAATTAACACGGAGGATAAAAAGTATAATTTTTAAATGTCCTTTTATAGAAGGAAAAATTATCCAAAATAATCCCAACTTTACCCGGTCTTTCAAAAATAATCCCACCTTTCACTGTGATGCATAATAATCCCAACTTTATTGAAATTTGCCAGTTTTGGGTCGCCGTTAAGTTTCTAACGGAGGGTTAACGGAAAAGCCTGTTGTAGACAAAAAAATGAAAGTTGGGATTATTTTTGATGAATTTTTGTTTTTTAATTTTTTTTGAAATTTTTATTTAAATTTTTTGAATTACTTTCAACCTCCATTTCTTTTTCTTTTTTAAAGATTATTCTTACCTTAGAAAAAAAATAGATATAAAAAATAATGAAAATGAGAAAAATAACTAAAACCATACAAAATTAATCAAATAAATAATGTAATCAATAGAAATTAAACAGAAACTGGTAAGAAATAAAATAAATATATACGGAGTGGTGGGTTTTAACATTTTACACACTATACGGAGTCTTAATGTACAACTTATTTTCTAAAAGAACAAGCCATCCGGTAAAGTTGGAATTATTGTAGATAATTTTTTATAAAAAATAAGAAGTGATATGTTAATACTTTGTATAATGCGTAAAATATTAAAACCCACCCGTATATTTTTATTTTACTTTTACCAATTTCAAATTAGTGTCCATTGATTACCTTATTTATTTTATTACTTTTGTACTCCGTATCATTTTAGTTACATTTCTCGTGTTTTCATTTTTTATATCTATTATTTTTATTTTTTAAACTAAGACTAATCTTTAAAAAAGGAAAAAAAAATGATGATGGAGGTAGAAAGTAATTAAAAAAATTTAAATAAAAAATTTAAAAAAATAAAAAAACAAAAATTCATCAAAAATAATCCCAACTTTCATTTTGTTGCCTAAAACGGGCATTTCCGTTAACCCTCCGTTAGAAACTTAACGGCGACCCAAAACTGGCAAATTTCAGTAAAGTTGGGATTATTATGCATCACAGTGAAAGGTGGGATTATTTTTGAAAGACCGGGTAAAGTTGGGATTATTTTGGGTAATTTTTCCTTTATAAAAAGTATAGATGTTACTTATTATGGTACCATGTGAATAAAAGTCTTCTCATACCAAATACTTTTTGGTCCAACATTATTTATTATAAATGAAATTTAAAAGTTTGGAAATTGAAATGATAGTGTGAAAAAATAGATCAAAAAATAATTATGTTTCCGTTTTTACTTTATACGTATTTTAAATAAGGTAATTTTATTATAGCGTTGCCTTGAACAAAAAAATATTCTCATACTTTTAATAATCGAAATTAAAATTAAAGTGGTGTTTCTTTTTATACTTTATATGTATTTTAGATAAAGTATTTTCCTGATACACAATTTTGGTAAGAAAGAATCATAAATACACGTTGATAATTAAAAATTTAAGTGAAAAAAGAAATGTTGAATTGATAAGTAACACCAACCGTGTAATTTGGCAAATATTACATTGCAATTTTAAAAATAAAAAATCTGAAAAAGGAAAATAGAATAAGCAAAAAACTTTTCATAATATAAATATGATCATTTCCAAAGATTTTCATAATTAATTTCTTTCGAGTGCGTTGTTAAATCCGTGTCATTGAAAAGGGATTTTAATTTAATAACGTAAATATAACCGGTGCAACGCACATGAGTGATACTAGTAAGTTTTGAAATAAGGATGATATTAATGTCTATTTTCCAAACTACGAGAATACTGGTGCTATTTGGCCTGCAAAACAAACACCCATGCGCATTAAAAGTTTGAGATGTTCTCGATTAATTGGGGTTTCAAGGTAGGTTGTCCTCACCCGCGGCTACTTCGGAGTTCCCAAGTACTCCGTATTAGAATCCCTTGCGCGAATGTCACTTTATAAAAAGAAATGTTAATATTTGAAATTTCCAAGACTCCAATGACTACCACTTCTTAATCATTTTGAAATCTGCAAAGCAAGGCCTCTGATAATAGCTCTAACTTAACTCCAATTTTGGACTCCACTGGACCTTGGTATCATTTACACTATGTTTGGTTCAAGGAATTGAGGAAGAAAGAAAAATGAGAAGGAAAAGAAAAGAAAAGGAAAGAAACTCAAAATTCTAGTTATGTTTGGTTAAGATGGAAATTGATGATAAAAATGTATTCTCAAGCTCTTTTTGTTTGGTTAGAAGGAAATTTGGTGAGAAAAGAATGTAAATCCAAATTTGAACCCAAAAGATTTTATTGACTAATATGTTTATGACTCCAGCGCCACTTCAATTGCTCCAATACACATCTTTTGTTTCTTCATCATCATGCAATTTAATTAACATAAACAAAAATATATAACCAAACAAAAAGAACTTGCAATTTAATTAATTGCAATTCGAAGAGAATTAGTTGCAGGGGCGGCCCAGAGCATGTTTCACATGATCGACCGCACAGGGCCCAATGATATGAAGGGCCCAATTGTTTAGAGTAGGTATTATGGAGTTTATACAATTCTTGCGCAATTGCCCCTCTCTTGTTCTCGGTAAGTAGTGGAAAAACTGAAGAGTCTGACTTTCTAACTTGAAGTGGTAGGATTTGTAATTATCACTCATTCTCTCGTCAAAATTGTAGACGTGCATCTAGGTTTCTACCACCCATGTGTGGAGGCCCTTATTGTTTTTAATTATAGATATCATTTTTTTCTTTCTCTCTCACACTCTTTATAAAATTTTATCAATTACTCCGTAAGATATATTAAAAGCCAAACTACGTTTATTTTAAAATAATTAAATATTATAAAAAATTGATATTTTAAAAGTATAATTTAAAATAAACTTAATTTTACTAAACTTACATTATTACCTAATATATTTTTTTTATAATTCACGGTCGAAGAGTTCCACAATTTAACCAAAAAAGTCAACCTCTAGTAATCTTTTAGGGATAAAGGGAATATCTTTTTCACATTGTATGGATAATGTACTCCCTCCGTCTCAAAAGAATTCAGTGTTGTTGTTTACAAAGTTTGACTGAAGTTATTTTCAATTCAAATTTTTAAATATTGGTAAAAATTTAAAAAATAAATCTATATATTTAAAAACTACATAAAATTTTTTACAAAATAAGATGTAACAAAATTATATTATTTTTTTCAAATGAATCACGTAAATGGATCAAGAACGTGATTAAAGTTTAATTTTGTAAATAATAAGCATTTAATTTAAATTGTGACGAGGAAGTAACAAATATAATGGAGCCCCAATATTTCTTTTGCACAGGGCCCTCTATACCTAGGACCGGCCCTGATTAGTTGCTGTTAAAGGACTACTTCACATTCTGTCCAATTCGAAGAGAAAAGAAGAAGAGGAAAACACTCCACTTTATTGTTGAGTTCTCTTGTTTCCAAACAAGGGACAGAAGAAGCATTTATTCATTTATTTTCATTGACAATTGGGATGATGATCATCCATGGTTATTCATCTCTTCTTGAGCACTACTGTAAAAGCTAACAGCTGTATTCATGAGAACACAAGGATAGAGATATAAAGTTCACAGACGGGATTGCAATTGTTTATCGCAGCAATTAGGGCTGCGATCGATTTTCAGAGATGAGAGGCACGATTAGGTTCAGAGATGGGTGAGCAAGAAGACATGGCAGAGACAGGAGCGAAGGTTTCAGAGACGGGAGCGATGGATTCCCTCGTTTTCCGTCCAAAATCGGGAGGAAAATGATTTTGCCCTTTTTTAATTCATTTTCTCCCCACCTTTCTTTTCCTCTCACTTTTCCTTTCCTATTCTCACTAACCAAACATAAAAAAATATTTTCCTCCTATTTTCTTTTCTTTTCCCAGCAAAAATCCTTGAACCAAACATAGTGTTAGAATATTACAAGCAGGGAATATTGGAGATCAAAAACATTACATATGACATTACCACATTTTGAAAAGAAGACGACAAACTTGAACACGCATTACGCCTTTTTACCAATAATGCCTTTTTTATGGTCTATCTAAGACACTCACTCTATGACTCTAGTGTGTCTATCTCAGGAACTCCACCTCACCAATGAAAACGCCACGCTAACTTGGCACGTTGCCGGTCAGCAGTTCCAAATCTGCCGTCCACGTCTTTTCAAGGACCATCTTCTTGAGCTGGATTGTTAATAGAGAGATGCAGCATATCAATTCAATGTGGGAGAATAGTGCTTGGCTTTTATGCTTATAAAATATATGCACATTGTGGTTATGACTAGTAAGATAAATGTGTTTCTTTTTCCACCACATTTCACACTACTCATTTATAGCACACAGCCTGAGAGAGACTTACTGCTTAAAATAAATCCTTGAAGCAAGCTCTGAGCTCTTTCAGCTTGATCAGGAGTGCCTGATATTTGGATAATCTTCTCTGTTTCTTCTGGTCTATCTTCAATCAATTTGACGGTAGCCCCCGACAGCTGTTGACATTACAAATCCATGAAAAAGGGATGTATATGTGGTTGTGTAGCAGTAAAAGCAGTGGAAAGAAAACACACAACTCACCTCACTAATCTGAGCAAGCTTGTTTCTAGATTTGGTTATTAGTTTTGGAGCCGCGTGTGGTGGAATGACTACTTCCAATGTACTTCTAGTGACTAATGGCACATGTATTCTATCATCACATATGGAAAGAAAGAGGAGGCATGTGAATCGGAATGGAGTGTCCTTGCAACACAACAAATGAAGATGAATGAAGATTTGTACCTATTCAATGCACTTGGCATATCTTTAAGGCGTTCACCGAAATTCTGATTTGATGTCTCACCCACAGGGACTCCACCTTCCTACCAAAAGATATATGCACAATGCTTGAAATCAAAGACAACTAACTAACTTTTAGCATTAAAGAGTTAGGGGTTTCATATGAATGTGAGAAGATATAAGAGCCTCTCCTAATCATTTGGCATGCAGAAATTTACTAAATACCTTCAATGGATGGGGAGTTTGTATACTCAATCCATTTTGAAGGGCTGAAGCAGCAGGATCAGTTAAAACACGAGTTTCCTGAGACAAGGAGGAATAGTTGTTGGCAGAAGCAGTCTCTGTCCCACTAACACTCCCTACAGGGCTGGGGGGAGATATAGGAGATGTTTCTTTCACGAACAGCGCTCGATAAATGTAACTCCTTAGCCTTGTGGTAACCTCAATAAGTGCTTCCCTAGCCGCTCTTATCTCGCCAACAATCTGCAGATATTGCATAATTAATCAACATTTAAATCAGTAGTCAAACAAGCATGGCCCTACCAATGGTTCTTACTTCCTAATCAAGAACAGTGATAAAAATAAATGCATATAAAAGCAGAATTGAATTTAAGGACAACCTGTACAATCACATCGGTTTCTGATAGACCGGATTCCTTTGGAAGAATCTGGACCACTGCTCCATTTATTTTCTGCATCTCAGAAACCCCTCGTAAGCATCCGACCTCATCTGATTGCACAACTAACCGAGTTGTGACTATGTTTTCCTTTTCTGAAACAAGATCAACGATGGCTGTTTGTATATGCAACAAAGCTTCTTGAGCAGGGAAGAGCTCATCATCAGGTCCCTACCCAAAAACAGACCAATAATCATGATATGAACTCATTCATCACCTATATATTCTCAACTTCCGTATTAGTTAGCATAAAAAGATTGAATGCAATATGGGGCTAACAAAGCAAAACAACCAATACAAAAGAAGATTGAAAAAAAACAGATGCAGCTAATACATACCTCATCAGATGATATGATAATAATCTGCTCATTGAACCCAGCAACAGGCTCAGTGATCTCAACATGCACACCAACATCATTCTGAAGCAAGTCTATAATGCCATCTGACTCCCCAATAATGGTATCAACCTTATAAACGGGACAAATAATTCTAAACACAAGAATTTCACTGGTAATCAACTGTTCATTGTTGTCTGTGAAAGGGGGGCCACCTGATTCGATGGCATAACCAGAAGGGCGAGAGGAATTACTAGAATAACCCCGGGAAGTGTTGAGACTCCTAGATAATCTAGAACCATCAACAGATGCTCGGCGTCCCAAATCATGCACGGGTGGAATAAAATCGTCACTTGGAGGAAAAACATGTTCAGGCGAATGCAACCTTCCATGGAAATTATTGCGATCACGGTGTTGGCTCTCCCTCAAGCGTGACGAAATTATTCCTAAGGCATTTTTTACATTATTCATTTCTCCAGTGACCTGAGTGAAAAAGGTGAGTAACTCAAGAGGTACTAAAAGTCTAAAACCAGGGATACACAACATTTTGTTTCAAGTCAAAGAGTATGATGAGAAAAGGATATTCAATTGGAGCAACTACTCCTTTCAGCTTCTAACCAACTCATAGAAATCGCAGCAAAGATACTCAAAACATTTAAAAAATACATAATGAATTCAAGACATCATAATCTAGGTCTAACATATGAATGCACACGTCAATCCACAAGTCATGCTAGATTATTACCAGCCAGCTTCCACTTATAAAATAACTCCATGCATATTAATAAAACTTAGTTGCTCTTGTCCATACCAAATGGATTCTTTATAATGCAAAAATCCATCAGTGTTTAAAATATTATGCTTCTAATACAGTCTGGCTGCCTGTAAAATCACCCCCATTTAAGATTACAGTAGAAGCCCTAGAAGGTCATAGTATGTTCCCATAGTATGTTCAAGGTTAAGTTTTAATTGAGGTGAAGTTTATGCAGAGTTCGAAGAGCAGAACCAAATTATAGCCATGTTCAGTTTCTTCCAACACTAACAATGCAAATGAAAGCTCGAACTTCAGAGTTTGCAACTAAAGAACTTCAAAGAAGGATAAGATTGATGAACACCTGAACAATCTCTTCAGACATTGCTACACAGCGAGGTAAATTGTTGTCTCTGGGTAACACCCTAATATGGGTCTTAGTCTCATTCCTCATTTGCTCAATAATTTTCCCTCCTTTCCCAAGTAAGCTTCCCACATGTACTCTTGAAACCACCAGCCTAGTCACCACTCGGTTAGCTCCCCCTCCGCCCCCAGCTCTCCCTCCATACTCATCCCCATCCTCACCACCAAACTCCGCATCACTCTCCAATATCCGCTGATGCACTAGTAACAAGGCCTCCTGGGCAGGCGAGAATGCGGGCATTCTGCCATCTGGGTCCCGCCTCCGAGTGTCAGAAATCTCGATGATTCGCTCCTCATCCCCTTGCACCAACTCATGCACGTTAATCCAAGCCCCCGTGTGCTGCCTAATGGACTTAATAATGCTGCCGGACTTTCCAATTACGCCCCCCACCTTCACATCGTGACACAAGATCCTATAAGTCGTAGTCACCATGAACGAAGGGTCTTGCACTTTCCGACCTCCGCCGCTGTTCCCGGCGCCATTTGAGACAAACCGGCGGTGATGGTTGGACTGCGGCGCGTGATGGTAGTTGTTATGTGGATTATATCTCTGTTTTGTCCGGGGTAGGTTGTCCGAATCATAGTCTTGGTCGTAGTAAGACCTCTTCGATCTTGATCTATCCATATCCTTGCCTACAAATCCGAGAATATAGGTCGCCGAAACGTCCTCTCAAATCCTCAATTCAATCATTATCCACTCGCGAATTCCACACCTCCAAGTTTAGGGTTTCGTCAAATCAAAAATCCGTTAAAAAGGAGTGTTTTTAACTTTGGTCAATTTACAGAGAAAACGCTGAGAGCAAATTATCAAACCCTACAAGGAAATGTGAGTTCAACAGAATGTAGGAAACAGTTGAGATATCGAAGCCATTTCTCATGATTACTGATACTCTGCTAGTTCTATAAATGCTTTTCTTCCAAAAACACCAAAAAAACGCAGGAAGAAAAATGATATGAAAAAAATGGTCCAATGTAAAAAAAAAAAATTCTTAGGAAATTATTCCAAGGTCTCTATTAGACAAGTCTTTCTCGCATACATTGTCATCACTCGTGCGCGCCCAAGGAAACTTCCCAGAGGGTTACCCAAACTCTCGAAAAAAGATGTACTTTGTTCGTATGAGTAGTACTATCAATCCTTTTGAGTTCTTCCCATTCTCATCTTAATACTGGGTATTACATTCACCCCTACTTAGGAATGCAACGTCATCGTTGCATCCCTTTTTTTAAACCCTTAGATCTTCTCCTTTAGGTGAACTAAGTTCTTTTGGCCCGTCACGATCGCAGAGTTGCTCTGATACTATTTGTAACACCCCGACCCCTACCTTAGTCGTAAGTGTCTGCTCATAGGATTGTAAAATGACCCCACAAACCAAAACAAGTCTTTCCCACACACTTTATCCTCACTCATGCGCGCCCAATGAAACTTCCCAAGGGGTCGCCCATCCTATAATTTCTTCAGGTCAAGAATGCTTAACTTTGGAGTTTCTAGGTGATGAATCTTCGAAAAGAATATGCACCTTGTTGGTATGAGTAGTACTATCAATCCTTTTAAGCTCTTCCCATTCCCAGCTTAATACTAGATATTACATAAAATTTAATTCAAATATTTAATATTTGTAGTATCAACAGTGCTCTTAATTTATTCTCAGTATAAGGCCAAATCGTTTTGATAACATGGCTCTTACTCTATTCTTAGTCTAAGCCAATATTTTTAACCAACTCTTAAACTATAATTAGTTTAAGGTACATATATATCTCGAACCAACTCCTAAACTATTCCTAGTTTAAGGTACAGTTCATGCTATTTACCAACTCTTAAACTAATCCTAGTTTAAGATATACTTTAAAATGATTTTCAATCTCATAAATTAGTCTTAGCTTAAAATATAAGGAACTGCACATCAGATTGCTCACTATCGGGTGGGTAGTATCCCCAAACGAGTGATCCTCTAGTTTTGTTTGTGGATCCCGTACTTACGCTTTAACTATGGCCACCCGACATCATACCCGCAAGGCCTAACTAATTTTGTCACATCGGGATATCTTAGAGTTCTTCTAAATACCCTTATAAATCAATATCGTTTTCATAATCATTATTTAAATCAAAATATTTGTGTTTTTAATTGTGGTTCAATCATATTTATCAAGGTTTAATCATTATAATCAATAATCAATAACAATCATTGTTAGTTCCATGGTGTTGGCTAATCTTTTGGCAAAATAGAATCCCATATTTGTAAGGTGTTTTACTAGGTAGAGACCTCTATTTGTTAGGAGAGATTTATTTTATTTAGACTTCTTGAGTTGCTGCAGTTTTCGAGGTTGACACAGAAGATGCTACAGCATGATGCTGCAACACACTATTCGGGATCAGAGGTCCGAGCACGAGATTTTAAGTTGCAATCTGAACTAGAGACCTATTGAGATTGTGATTGCATGATAATAACTCCAGCTGTACATGCTAAGGAATCCTAACTCTTTAGGCTACTTGTGGATCAAGATTAAGGAAATAGAGTTCAAGCCAACTTCTACTAACCTATTAAGAGAAGCCTATAAATACGCAGCAGGTCTCTGGGAATTACTTGGAGCGATCGAGAGGGAAAATAAAGAATATACGCTGATGTAGAGCATTTCCGTCGCGTCCCGGAGCTTCCATGCGTGAAGAAGGTTACGATCTACATGAAGGAGGAGATCTTCAACGCCAAACAGATCGTGACATCCAGGAGATGAACTAGAGCTTAAGGAGAGGGCTGCCAAGACGTTTGTCCTCGTGATCTCGGTGGAGATGTGATAGCCGAAGCGGATCTGAACAGAGTTCGGGTTAGAAATCCTAGATTAAAAGTTTTGTCATAACAATTTGGAGAAGTGTGTCTCTTCATGTTGTTATGTACCGGTGTAACTTGCATCTAGTGATTTAGTGGAGGGCTATTACACGGACGTGGGACCCGCAGACTAGGAGAATTTGCTCCGAACTGCGTAAACATATCTGGTGTTATTTTTTACGTTTTTTACAGTTACAGCATTCTGCCCAGTAGGCGCTGTAACGCTCTCTACATCATCTGCTTCTGTGTGTGTGCTTGTGACAGAGAAGTGTTATAGCACACTGTCCGTCATCTGTTAGTGTGATAGTGCTGCAGCGTCTTCTCTGCAGCATAGCTGGTTGTTTTGTTTGCATAGCTCGTGTTTGGTGTTATCTGCTGTGCCCCCACGAACTTACAATCATCATAATATTCGATAACAAATATTGGCTTATCTTCGAGTATTAACACCCTAGCTTACCGTCATGTATCACACAAGGTTTTTGGATTGGTTAAAGCATCATTTTTACTTCCAAAAATCATTTTCATATTGATCATAGTTGAATGGTATCAAAAATATTATTTTATAGCTTCAAAATCAGATTTTTCGTCAAGGAAAATGTTCAGAGCGGTCAACTGTTACCGTCGGACGGTCAACTATTTTTGTTACCGTACTGATTTGGAAATTGGGCACCGAATGGTACAACCTCTACCGTTCGAAGGGTAGTTGGTTACCGGGGGTAGATCGTGGCGGGATGATCGATCATTCAAACGGTACCTAGCTACTGTCCTGGCGGTATCTTGGTACTAGATGATACTATTCATCGTCTTCTTCCTCGGGTCCATTTTCGAAAACATCATTATATGTCACCAAACTTCAATTAAACTATATATAAATATTATCCAAGGTTCATAGATCATTTTGGTATCAATAATTCAAAATTTTAACAATAAATTCAAGGTTTATGACTCTTGGTTCTTCAAACATGTCAAACACAAAACTCAACCAAATGACCTTTTATGAATGTAGAAACGATCTATATGAACATTCTAATCACTAGATATATCTAAATGCTCACCTTGGGTTTAAACGATCATTTTGGAAATTTTCCGGCGAAACTTCCAGCGACGATTACTCCCAACTCCGGCGACCTCGACGACAACAACCTATTGCAGAATGCTCTCCTCACTCTCAAGAACACAATGGTACTAAGTTTATTCAGTTTGGTGGAGAAATGAGAAGATTAGGTTCTCCGTATATAGTGAAGAAGAGGAAGAAGGTGCGAGGCTTGCTGCGCATACGTGATTCACGATCGGCATAGTGGAGGAGGAGGCATCGTTTGTACCCGTCTTTCCCGATTGGGACTAATTTGGTTCCAGTCGGGGTACACTTTCTTGTCCAACTTTCTCCAAATTATAATTCGATTGCACCATTGCGATTAGACAATCAAACTCTATCTATCGATATAATTTTTATATTTATTTGTAATACTTTTTTCAGGTTTACAACTAGGGCTTTGTTCTTTTCGGTTGGAAAAACAGAGTTAGATGTTGGAAGAAACTGGAATGCGTTGAAACAAACGGGAAGAAGTTGGAAAAATCTAGAAAGAGTTGAAAAAAACTTAAAAGAGTTGAAAGAAATTGAAGGAGTTGGAAAAACTAGAAAGAGTTGGAAGAAAATCTCATTTTATTTTTTCTTTTATGTTGTTGTATTTTATCTCATATTGTATTTGTAACCTTTTTTTCGTAACTCACACTCTTTTTTTATTTTTTAAAATCAACATTAATCATATAATTTTTTTCCAGTTGTATGTCACTAATCCATGTTACAAAAATAAGAAAGTAAATGAATCAATACATTTTATTAGCTTTAGTTGAAAGAAAAGCAAGACTTAAATAATATAAAGGAGGGAAAAAGAAAAAATGCATAAAAATAGTGCCAATATATTCAGACTCTGAGGTTAGTGCATACAAGGGTTTGAGATATTTTATTTTCAAAGATTTGCTATTCTTTTTTTATTAGGAAAAATTTATTATTCTAAAACAATGAGAGAAAAAGAAACAGGGGCATGATAAAAGACGCCAATTCATTCCCGTAAAAAGTTCCACTATTTTGCTTTTTGTGTGTTCAAGAATATCAAAACAATTTTTTTTCTCTTTTAATACATTTTTTATTTTATAAAAGTGAAATAGATAATTTTTTTGCAACAGAGGTAGGATATGTGACATCTGCACATTTATAAAATAAACAATGTTAACTTTACATAGTTATTTCTTCTTATATGTGAACATCTAATTTTTTTTGTATATGCTTAGAACATGCAAATTATCAAATTATACACGTTTAAAAGTTATTTAATGCTTAATGAAATAAAATAGAGTACGAAATTATTTTGGTCAAAATCTTAAAACATCGACAAAAATACATTTCAAAAAAATATACGTAGTTAACAAAAATTTTAAAATCACAAAAGAAATGATAAATTAGTTAATTTAAAATTTTAATGATTTTCTTTAATCTATAATGGTAACTAAACCTTATATTCATGCCAAATTTTTACAGTAACAGATTTTGACAGTAAATAACATTTTTATTTTATTGAGATAATAATAATAATAATAATAATAATAATAATAATAATAATAATAATATAAAATAAACTTAAATAATTTTTTTAAAGTTATTATTGGAAGAAATTGAAAGAAGTCTAAAAAAACTAAAAGAAGTTGGAAAAACTGGAAGGGGTTGAAAAAAACTTGAAGAAATAAGAAAAAATTGGAAGGATTTAAAAGAAACTTGAAAGAATTGAAAGAAAATAGAAGGAATTGGAAATCATTGAAAGGAGTTGAAAAATATTACGGAGTAGAAGTTACGTGTTAACGCTCAAAAGAATAGAACTAAATCAACTTTGCAACCTTTAGATCTATGTATCAATTTGAATCGGATTAATTAAGCTAGTTGCGCATCCTAATTCAACCATCCCAATTCCATGTCATGAAATCTAATTGCCAAATACCATTAGAATCAAACATAAGCAATTAAAGTCATGAAATCATATCAGCCAATTTTGAGAAGGATAAAACACGTACAGTAGATTTTAACAACATCACGAACATTCATAAACGTAGAGGTTTGAATAGCTTTCTAGCATGAGTTGAATTATCACTGGTTCAACCACACTAGACTATATTCATCACCCTAACGCTTACACATAGCATATAACAAACGTAGACCATATTGGATTCAAAACAGAAACGAAATCAGTATTCAATAATCCCAAAAACATATGCAATGAATTGAAATTGTAAGATAGCTAACGAAGGCATCCAAGATACTTAAATCGTCACCGCAATCCTTGCCGGTGATAGCTCCTTCGTCGTTGTCATAATCTTAATAAACCCAAATGTCAATTATGCTCAAGATCTAAATAATTGTATATCTAAATTAAAGTGCAAAGCATGAATTGACTAGTACAAAAGAGTATTAAAATTACCCATTTAAGATATAAAATGTATTTTGGTACCTATAATGCACAAATATAGAAAATACGCTCAAAGTGGTCATAATTTGCAACTAATGTATAGAAACCCTATAAGAAATGGGGGATAAAATATGGAAATTAAAGACTCAACAATGTACATAGCATGTGTATCCACATGTAGAAAATCCATATCAGGCAAACTGGCCCCTGTTATTTCTCTTCAAACTCAACATCAATGACATCTGCTTGCGACTTGGAAGAAGACTTGGTATGCCGTCCAGTTTTGGAAAAAGAATCATCTTGTGGCTGCCAAACAATGTTTCCACAACTAGTGCAGCAAACTCTTTGGAATTTATATCCAATAAACTTACTTCTACAAGACGGGCAATTTCCCTATGAAAAATAAAAGATGAAAGTTAGTACATGGTAATAAGTTTCTAAATAATATCAAAACAATAAAATGATAAGGGAGAACTAACTAAAAAAGCACCACACAAAATTAGTCAACTATCCAGAAAATTTGCAGCATGAAAGGACATTTCATTTACCTGAATTTTTAGTTTCTCGGCTTCAGTAACTATAAAAAGAAGCCCAGTAAACGGCAACACCCAAACTGCAAGAACCAGAAACTGGGACAACCATCCTGATAGAGCAAACCAAATGAAGACAAGTGTCTGCAAAATTGCACATGTAGTATAAGGGGTTCAAAGATGAGCAAACAAAACAGAGTCGAGTTCTGCAACTACGCATATTTACATATGGGGTTTTGCAAAATGATAGCAGATCTGGTCCATTGATACAACCAAATGAAGAAGAACCTCTTCAACATCTAATACCTACGTGTCGATTTAGTTGTCCACTTTAAAAATTATCTCATTTTTAAAGGAGTGTAAAACATCAAAAAATTCATTTAAGGGAGTTCATCATTTCATTGATGTTAATTAGAAGGTATTTTTGACAATTCGTCATAATATGTTTACAAAGTATGCAAAGTAGACAGCTAGTTCTGAACACACAAAAAGGGAAAGTGGACAACTTTGCAATGTACTTATGTACTATGTATACTACATAGTACACTGCATGAGCTAAGCACAAATTGCTAAAAACCGCATGAAACAAACAAGCCCAAAATTAAAAAATAGAACATGAAGTCGCCACCATCATAGAAATTGTGCTCAGGGCTGTCATCAATACATTTTGATGTCCTAGAGGACACATAATATCAGCAAAGATTGAGAGCTCATAATGCTTTATACCAAAAAGACCTCATGCAATCATTTTATGCATGCAATGCTTTACTCTTATACTGTTTGCATACCATAATCAATGTCGAATATAGAAAGAATACAAATCACCAATTAATATAATTAACATAAACTAGTGAGTAGTGATAATCTCATAGTTTGTAAGGCGTCACCTAGGCGATAAGGCGTTGTCACTGGGACGCCGCCTTGTCTGCTCGCCTCACCTAGAAAACCTTAAGGCGACCAGGCACTCGCCTAGGCGTCGCCTTTCCTCGCCTTACTTTGCCTTGATGCCTTGGGCACCATTAAAATTTTGAAAAAACCCATTTTTTAGTGCAACCCATTTTCTTTTAGTGTAGCCTAATAGACTTAAACTTATCTTCTCTCTCTCGGTCTTCTGTGTCTCGATCAAGCTTCCTTAACACACACACACACACATATATATATACATACATACACACACAGTCAAAGTCAGCACACCTCTTCCTTTGATTTTTTTCAAAAAAAAAGAAATCAGTGTGAAAAAAAGGTGAGCTTTGCTGTTGGTGTGGGTGAGCTTCACAGTTAGCAAAGATGAGCTTTGCGTCATCTAACCGTAGCACGTTGATCCCTAAATAAGCCTCTAAGAAAATTTGAAGTTTTGATTCACATGCTAATTATTTGAGATTTGACAGAAGACATACACCCTGACAAACCTTCCGACTTATTATTTTGGCATAGTATAACTCTTATAAGCCATCAGTCCAACAGTTTAAATGTACTCCTCCCTTCATCCCATAAAAACAGTACTCTGATGAGTGCACAACTTTTTAATTCAAGTACAATCATAGAAAAGTCCATCCATTTTCAATGGAGCTAAAAGAGTCATTATTGACAATCTTTTAGTTCCGGACACATAATGGACTACATCAAAATGGAAAACTAAATTCCCATTGCTTCTTACTTTCTACAAAGTTTTGAGTAGTGAATGCAGCCATGCATTTAGGGTTTAACAGAAACATATTTGTTTTTAAAAAGGTAAGATTGAGAATATTTTGACTCCCCAAACCCCAACAACAGAGTTGGGATTATACTAGGTTGTTTTTACAACCCTTAGAAAGCACTAAATATATCTATATATCTAGACCAGAAAAATATAACTCTTTTATGGGGAAAACATAATAAGAAATAAGACTCTTTTTATGAGATGGATGGGGTACTACTTTTGGAAATAAACATTTTTATTTTTTCTCATGATCAACTTATCGTGAGACAATGCCACAACAAGGTTCCACCCTTATTAAATAAAGGATTATATGGTTTGCATTCCCCCGGGGAAATATGGTTTGCATCAATTCTCTCTCATTTGCATAACTCTCAATCACTCATTTTTAGGGCTGGGTTGGGAAAAGCGAAAACCGCAAACCGAACAAAAAACCGATCAAAACAAGCTAGAAAAAAAACCAAACCAAATAGACCAAAACCGATTGTAAAAAAACCAAACTGAACCGTTACTGTTTGGTTTCTGTTTTAGTTTTCACTTCGGAAAACCGAACCAAACCGAATAAACCGAACTTTCTTAGGTACTTTGCTTTATTTATATGAGTATATGTGATATAAAAAAATCATAAAGCATAAATGCAAATAATTGATTAGTGGATTAAATGTATTTTTCTTAACTATTAAACATTTTAAACCATATTATCAACTTTAAAAAAACCTAAAAATATAAACATCAATAACTAATCCTAATACGGAATTATATTTACATTAACAATCGATACGAGTAGTTTATATAATTACATGAAAAAACTTTGATGCTATAATATAAATGAAAGTATTGTACCAAAAACGTAATTGTTTCGTAATTGATATTTACATATGAAAGCTTTGGGAGTATTTGGAAGCTCTTAGATGTTTGTTGGGCACTCGACACATTTTTTATGTAAAATTGAACCGAACTCTAACCTTCCGTTTGGTTTTTGGTTATATGTAAAAATCAAACGGAAAAACCAAACCTAACCCTACATATTGTTATTGCTTCATCGAATTAGTGTTTTTACATCTTTTTAATGCTTATAAATTTTATTTTTAAAAACCGTAAAAACCAAAAGAAAAGAATATAAAAACCGCATAAACCAAACGAATAAACAATGGTATATATATTTTTTATGAAAAATCGAACCGCCACTGTTTTGTCTTTGGTTTTAGGTGAAAACCGAACCACCAAAATCGAATCCACCCCTACTCATTTTCACCTTGACTTTATAATGACCATACCCAGTCAATATGAAAACATAGTTCAGGACAAAGGGAGCATTTGAAAACACATGGAGCTGTGTATGTCCAAATAAAGCAATGGGATGGGATTAGTTGCAACACAACTTATTCACTCTCTATAAAATATGAGGCCAGCCATAATCTTTCCAACAACAATCCTATGTATATATCTCGTATGGATGCAATACAAAACGCGACGCGGTCCTAACATATAGCAAAGTGGTATGAGAGTTTGCTGTCACTAGACCCTATGTGTTAGGAGTTATGGCTTAAAACTGACAGCTGAAACGGTAATAATTCACTTTGGTTAATGGACCACAGAATGATAACTATTGCAGTGACGAGGTTGCCATATGTGGTCAGAAGCACAAATTGAAGCTAGGGTAAAAGCTTAAATTCATTTATAAACTTAATTAGCAAAAACAGAGTTAGACTCTATCCTTCATCCTGGTATGATCGTCTATAACCTTCCAACTTCTATCGAAACCATTAATTCTGCATTTCAAAAAGGCCCTAGCACTTACCCCAACAGCTCTTCCAATTGGAGTCTCCAGAATGTCACTCAGCTGCTTCTTGTACTGCAGACACAACAAAAGCGAAAATAATTACCCGATATTAGACAACTAGCATAAATAATTTCCTGAAAGTTTACAGTTATACCATAGGCTAGCTTTGTTGTTAAGTACTCTAATTAATGAATTTAAGTCTGTAGTACATAGGTAAATTGAACAAACCATAGGCCAATTTCGACTGAAATCCAGAGTAAAGGTGTGCCAACGACGAGAAATCTCTAATTTCCGGTCGATTTCACGGGCACGGTAGGCAGTGGATTGAGCTGCAACCGAAAGTCGTTGCAACACCCCATATCTACGGTCGATAATCTCAGCTGTCTTCTTCGTTTCGTAAACAAAATACTCGAAGCTGTCGTTTGCTCGCAGCCAGGCGTCTTTCCAAGTACCGACGGAGGCTATTCGCCTTGCTAACATATCAAAATCACTGCGCTTGAATGCTTGTATAGGCGCCATGTGCCGGATAGGAATGAACTGCCTTGGAGTATGATATAGAAGAAGAGTTCTCGCCGGGATTAGGGGTTGCCATGGCCACTTTGTCGTCATGGATTCGGAGTAATTGGCGTTCAGAATTATCCAGGGAAAGTTGGACCAGACGATTACAATTCCGAGTTAAGAGCCACCTCCAGAGTCCAGATCTCCACTCAGGGTACATATAATTCTCTCATACACGTCTATCACCACATCACTTATTTTTAAAGAATTTATGTTTTAAAAAAGACACTTAGGGGCTGTTTGTTTCAGACTCTTAATGGTTCAGATGTCTGAATGCTTCAGCACTTAAAGGTTCAGACTGTTTGTTTCAGCCTCTTAATGGTTCAGATGTCTGAATGGTTAAGAGATTTGCCTCTGAATGGTCAAGTATTATACAGAGTCTGAATAGTTAAGACCTCTTATCTGAATTGATCAGACATTTGCCTCTGAATAGTTAACCAATATACTAGCTCTTAATGGTTCAGACCTCTTACTGGTTCAGCACTTAATGGTTCAGACCTCTTACTGGTTCAGCACTTACCCATTCAGAAGTTGCTAAACAGCCCCTTACAAGTTACAACCCATTTCATCTATCAGTAAATTTACTTAACTATTATTGAATCCCACCTTTCCACTTTTAAATTACTTTATGAGTAAATTCTATAATTAGTCCTTTATAACAGGGGGGTTTCCCTATTTAGTCCTCTATTATCAAATATTACCCAAGTGGTCCTTTTATGTGTACTTTTCCACAACATTATGTCTAGTGACGTGTTCTGATATTGGTTAAACTGCTACAGGCACGTACAGTGCCATTTTCCTACACACAGAGTTGGATAAAGTTCACAAATTCAAATATTAAAAATAATAATATTACTATTTTAAATTAAATAAATATATTTAGTGATAATGGAAACTGTTTATCATCCCACTACTTCAACCACTTACCACGTCTCCAAGCACATGCCACATCTATTATATATATATAAAAGTAGAATCAAAATTGAGATTGAAATTCAATCCAATTTTCGCTCCAAACCAAATGATCCGACGGCCCAATTTTATAGGCATTGATAAAATCTAGCCGTCAATTAGGAGGCACGTACAACATATTCAATCCATCACCATTTCCTTTCCTAAAAAAACATCGCCAGTTTTTGAAGAAGGCAGTTGCAGTTACGATCCGAGGGTTTCCATCTTCGAACAGAGTCGCTTAGTCATCTTCCATCGCCTATTCGCCTCTTAGGGTTCCCGTTGTGCCCCAAGTGCGAAGCCTGGGTATGAGGTAACTCCAAATCCCTAATTTTGGAGCAAATCTAATCGAAATTTTGGGTTTTATTTTAAGGCAGGATGATAAGGCAGACACCAGTTTTTTGCACAATCTTTCACTTACCATCTGAATGCTCTCTACCACTAAATGCACAATCTAATTCTTTCTTTCCGTCGTGCAGGTCCCTAGCACTGGAATGGAGATAACACAAGGGGGTAACGATGTCGAGATCAATGATGGTAGTGTCGGGCTAGGGGTTCGGCCCTAAGCATCCTATGATTAAGTTCTAACAACACTACGGGCGGTGCAACACAGGTGCACGACTTCGGGGATAAGGGTAACCCCTGTTTGTTTTTTATGATATACTACATTTTTTATTTGTATGACAAAATGTTCCAAGCTCTTCATCTTTTCATTGGTCTAGGGAAAATGTCTCAGCTTTGGATTCTTGACAAAGGTTTATAGCGTCAAGCTAATTCCCCATGCCACTATTTTAAAATGGTTTTTTTATTCTCTTCAATTGAGTTTTTAAGCCGGGACATTTCAAACAATCAATGGATTAATTCAAATACATTATTTAAAAATTTATTTTACTGGTTTGTTATTTTTAAAATGCTCTGTATCCATCATTTTAGAACATATAAGTTGAAGTGCATATTTTAATAAATATATTTAGTGATAATGGAAACTGTTTATCATCCCACTACTTCAACAACTTCCCACGTCTCCAAGCACATGCCACATCTATTATATATATATATATATATATATATATATATATATATATATATATATATACACATATATATATAAAAGTAGAATCAAAATTGAGATTGAAATTCAATCCAATTTTCGCTCCAAACCAAATGATTTGACGGCCCAATTTTATAGGCATTGACAAAATCTAGCCGTCAATTAGGAGGCACGTACAACATATTCAATCCATCACCATTTCCTTTCCTAAAAAAACATTGCCATTTTTTGAAGAAGGCAGTTGCAGTTACGATCCGAGGGTTTCCATCTTCGAACATAGTCGCTTAGTCATTTTCCATCGCCTATTCGCCTCTTAGAGCATCAACAATGGTGAGGCAAAAATGGAATGCCACACAGTGACATGGAACATTTTAACCAATCAAAAATAGTCCAGTCAGCGTGTGGCAAGTGAATGGAGTGGCAAGTTCTACAATGGCAAGTCATTATTTTTTATCACTTTTTTACATTTTTTATGTTTTTTAAACATAAAAAAATATTTTTATTATTTATTTTATTAAAAAATTATTCTACATTCTTGTACATTTTTTTTCATAAAAAATTTATTAAAAAAAATAAAAAAAGAAGGATGGAGTGACACACTCATGCCTCACAAACCAAGGCATTTTGGCCTTGCCATGCCATGATATGTGTGGAAGCTGCTGATGTGGCAGTGCATGGCATGCCTCTTCCTTGCCATTGCACATGCTCTTAAGGTTCCCGTTGTGCCCCAAGTGCGAAGCCTGTGTATGAGGTAACTCCAAATCCCTAATTTTGGAGCAAATCTAATCGAAATATTGGGTTTTATTTTAAGGCTGGATGATAAGGCAGACACCAGTTTCTCGCACAATCTTTCACTTACGATCTGTACACTCTCTACCACTAAATGCACAATCTAATTTTTTCTTTCCGTCGTGCATGTCCCTAGCACAAGAATGGAGATGACACAAGGGGGTAACGATGCCGAGATCAATGATGGTAGTGTCGGGCTAGGGGTTCGGCCCTAAGCATCCTATGATTAAGTTCTAACAACACTACGGGCGGTGCAACACAGGTGCACGACTTCGAGGATAAGGGTAACCCCAGTTTGTTATTTATGATATACTACATTTTTTATTTGTATGACAAAATGTTCCAAAGTCTTCATCTTTTCATTGGTGTAGGGAAAATGTCTCAGCTTTGAATTCTTGACAAAGGTTTATAGCGTCAAGATAATTCCCCATGCCACTATTTTAAAATGGTTTTTTTATTCTCTTCAATTGAGTTTTTAAGCCGGGACATTTCAAACAATCAATGGATTAATTCAAATACATTATTTAAAAATTTATTTTACTGGTTTGTTATTTTTAAAATGCTCTGTATCCATCATTTTAGAACATTTAAGTTGAAGTGCATATTTTAATAAATATATTTAGTGATAATGGAAACTGTTTATCATCCCACTACTTCAACAACTTCCCACGTCTCCAAGCACATGCCACATCTATTATATATATATATAAAAGTAGAATCAAAATTGAGATTGAAATTTAATCCAATTTTGGCTCCAAACCAAATGATTCGACGGCCCAATTTTATAGGCATTGACAAAATCTAGCCGTCAATTAGGAGGCACGTACAACATATTCAATCCATCACCATTTCTTTTCCTAAAAAAAATCGCCATTTTTTGAAGAAGGCAGTTGCAGTTACGATCTGAGGGTTTCCATCTTCGAACATAGTCGCTTAGTCATCTTCCATCGCCTATTCGCCTCTTAGGGTTCCAGTTGTGCCCCAAGTGCAAAGCCTGGGTATGAGGTAACTCCAAATCCCTAATTTTGGAGCAAATCTAATCAAAATTTTGGGTTTTATTTTAAGGCTGGATGATAAGGCAGGCACCAGTTTCTCGCACAATCTTTCACTTACGATCTGTACGCTCTCTACCACTAAATGCACAATCTAATTTTTTCTTTCCATCGTGCAGGTCCCTAGCACAAGAATGGAGATGACACAAGGGGGTAACGATGCCGAGATCAATGATGGTAGTGTCGGGCTAGGAGTTTTGCCCTAAACATCCTATGATTAAGTTCTAACAACATTACGTGCGGTGCAACACAGGTGCACGACTTCGGGGATAAGGGGAACCCCTGTTTGTTTTTTATGATATACTACATTTTTTATTTGTATGACAAAATGTTCCAAAGTCTTCATCTTTTCATTGGTGTAGGGAAAATGTCTCAGCTTTGGATTCTTGACAAAGGTTTATAGCGTCAAGCTAATTCTCCATGCCACTATTTTAAAATGGTATTTTTATTCTCTTCATTTGAGTTTTTAAGCCTGGACTTTTCAAACAATCAATGGATTAATTCAAATACATTTTTTAAAAATTTATTTTACTGGTTTGTTATTTTTAAAATGCTCTGTATCCATCATTTTAGAACATTTAAGTTGAAGTGCATATTTTAGTTGCAAATATGTCAATCATTCATTATATACATGTGATTTTTGAATATGCTCAGAATTTTTAGTGGAATATGTGCCATATTTTAAAAATATGATTTTTATTGGAGGAAATAAGACAGCCTATTGGTGTTCCATGATCTATTACATGATGACGAGTCTTAAAATAATGAATCAACCATCTAAAAAATTACATTGTATATTTGAAATCAGTAGTGCTTATTTGGTTTTGTTAATAATGTTGAAATATGTTTATGAATTTTCTAGACGCAATTGAGTTGGGAAGGCAAAATACTGTCATTTAGGAGTGTCTAGCACCTTCATATATCAAGATACACACACAGAGTACTGTTATTTGCATTGTTTAAAATTTGTTTACTTGAATTTTTTGTGCATTTAGAGGATTTCGGAAAATATGGTAGGTTATCTTCTGTAGTCTCCATAGTGGTAGTGTTTGGGCTTGGCTAGAGATGAATAAGAAACACCTATCTTAGATGGGATGTTGATGTTGGTGGTAGCAATACGGTCAAGAGAAGTGGGCTTGAGAATCCTAGAAAGGTAGATGCAAAAAATCCCCTTCAAACCAAAAAATGTTTAGAAATTATTACTCGAAAAGTAATCCATATTGATAGGACTGTCCAATTATTCAAATTTCATATCCATGATTCATAAATTCATATTATTATCACCAACATAAGGCAACTGACTTAGGAATCCCCTTTTTTAAAACAAATATGCTCATATATTAATGATTGCGGTGGTCGAAATTAAAAGATGTCCATCAGAGATTCCAATTTTTGTAATGTAAGATGACATTGGATAAAATAGAAGGAAGAAAAAATGCACCAAAAACGAAACAGACTAAACACCTTTTAAAGTCTGTACTTTTCAAACAATCAATGGATTAATTCAAAATCATATTTTAGATTTTATTTTACTGGTTTGTTAGATTAATTCAAAATCATTTTATGAAGGAAGTGCTCCGGAGGCAAATATCTTACTCCGTTGGTGATTCCAAATGGTATAAGGGTTGTCTAGCCGGTTTTCTTGTGTACAAAAAAATGGTATGCAAAGATGCCTATGGAATTATTGAATCAAGATCATATCTTAAAAAATTTATATTTTGTTTTGGATCATATCTCTCAGCTTAGTTGTTGCTTCCGCTTGGATAGATAATGTTCTTTCAGCATTAGAGTTGAAATAGGCACGAGATGTTTGGCCACCTCATTTCTTCATAGAATCTGTCTAATGTGACGTAAAAAATGAACTTTTATGATGTTTTGTTCTAGAAAGCTACTCGGATGGTGATCCAGTACGGTTGGGGCCTGGTGACAATAATCCTACGATTTACCACTATGATAATGTGGTATTTTCTGTTGTTCTATTTGAAAGGAATCATCGTTGCACTTTGTAGTTCAGACTTATATATTATAGTGTTTCATATTCCTCTTTCCAATTTTAAAATTGGAAATTTGCAAATTAAGTCAGTGAGTTAATGATCATGGATGGGAATCTCTAAAGCAATATTTCAAATTGCGAGGAAGGGGTTCTGAAAAGGCTGCATTGGAAATAATATTATTGCATATAATTTGGGAAACAATCATGGAACTTGAGCTGGCTGCAAAAATTGAGAAGGTACTATCTTCTCAAATTATAACATTGGATTCTGTTTTTGAGCAAATAATGTTTCTTCCTCATTGTTTTAGTTAAGCCACGATTTCATCTCTATTCTGTTTTTGAACAAATAATGTTCTTTCCTCATTAATTTAGCGAAGTCACGATTTCATTTCTATTCTCTAAGGTGTTATTTAGTGCCACCTCGATTATATGTGTTTCAAATAAGGTGTTAACTTTCCCCCCTCCCCAACTACCATTCACAACAACACAATGTTGGTTGTAGTTAATCACCACGTGGAAAGCTCCCCAATCCCCCTATAACTTTCCACTTGGGGTAAGGTTTGCACACATCATCCCTTTTTTGGGAGGCTCTACCTTTTTGGGATTCTACTGGGTTTGTTGTTTTTGTTAATTGAGATATTGACGATCAAATTGACATCAGGAAAATAGAGGAAGAATAGCTCAAGTGGTTGGGTGTGAGTGCTGTATTCTTTTATTGCGAGGAAGAATAATGAAATTTGCTTCATCCTGCCCTCACTAAAAGGTGAATGGACATAATAGCGTGTTAATCTTACTTTCTTACTTTTTATGAATTTTTTTACAATAATTTCATGAATGCATCAAGCTTGTGAACATCTTGACTCCAACTTTGCTGGGATTTACTCCGTATGATTTAGTGAATTGCATATGACTTAGAGAATTGAATATCTTACTTGCGTGATTAAGTGTTTGATTCAATTAGTTTTGGGTATTTCTTGGATATGGTATTCCTATGATTTATTTTGACTATTAGTGCAAGAGGCTTATTCTTTGATGGATCTTGATTTTTTTCTTTGGTTTTTGATATTTCATATAAAATGAGTAAATACAATACTTTGTACTTCTCAAGCCAAGTAAACTACACGTGTTTTGGTATTGAACTATTTGTATAGGCCTTATCTTATTTTGGGTATTGTGTTTCTCGAACTTCACTTTTTCTTCATATCAATAAAAGTATTTTATTTAAATAATAAAAGTATATATGTACTTTGTAGATGCTTATTATTTCACATTTAAATTTACATATTCACATTTAACTCTACATTTAGTTTTGTATATTAACATTTACTTTGTATTTAACATTGTTAAAATAAATTATTTACCGTTCATCCACGAATTAACGATACAAACATCAATACTACTGTATATTTTTATTATCAACATCTCTAATTATGGGAGTAATATATTTTCATTCCCGTGCATCGCACGGGTGAATTCCTAGTGTGTGTTAAATATTACAGCGGGAAAATAATAAAAATAATAATCCGAACTGATAAACCGTTTGGATTATACAATGAAAATAAAATAAATAAAGTTGGAATCTTCGAGAAGCTCGAATGGATCGTTACGACAGCAAGAACTCGAACGGGCAGAGGAAGGATTCAAATAGAGCAAGTGCCTTGATTGTTGAGAGATGTCGGACGGATGACAGAGGCGAACCGAAACAGTTTCTGGAAATAGAGGTTAGGAAAGCGGAGTCACTGGAGCTTTCCTTAAGGTAGTATTGCCCGCCTCCCGAACTTGCGAACGTAGGCAATCTCTTCTTAGGATAAAACCGCAACGTGCAAGGTCTAGAGCAGTAGAACCGAGCACCGACGAACGAGAACAACGGGAAGTTATCTGCCGGAAAACTGATCGGATATTGAAAGCGAGAGAATATTGGACACACAAAATTTTCTTCTTCTTCACTGAACCAAGGCCTCCTTAAATAGGAGATGTCTTGGCCGGATTGGACGAACAGGGATAGTTTGGGCGGAGAAACCCAGGAGTCACCGGAGACTCTTCGGATATATGCATGCATGCCATTATTTCTGTCACTTCCTTATTAACGAATTGTACACTCGTGTTTGATTTGCTCTCGTAAAAAATAGCCACGCCGCAGACGCGGGCACGGGTGCGCCGCGCCGCGCCAGACAAACGGCGGCGGCGCGCGAGGAGTCCTTTCTTGTTCCTTTTATAAACTCAATTAAATGCTTAAGTTTAATTATGGGAATACGAAAGGTTCAATATTCGGTGTGGGACAAGGTTTTTACTCTTTCCACGTGTTCGACTTTGTGAATTAATTTCTCATTCACCCGAGAACAAGTGCTCCCCGTGTGGAAAGACTCGGTCAAATGAATCCTTTATCAAGCAATTCTTGTAGTTGAGCCTTTAACACCTTCATTTCAGCGAGAGCCATACAATAGGGAGTTGCTGATATCGGTCCTATTCTAGGAACAAGATTGATGGAAAATTCTACTTCTATGGAAGATGGTATACCAGGAAGTTCATCAGGAAATACACCAAGAAAGTTAAATACCGTCGGCATATCCTTCAACTCATGAGTTTCGTTTTGTGTGTCACGTACATTACATAGATAGGCTTTACATTTCTTGCAGATGAGACGCCTAGCGTTTATATACAAGATGAATTCAGGCATGATGTCATTGCATTCTTGAAGGTCTCACATTAGAATAAGGTCTTGCGATTTGGTAAGAAGGGCAAGTTAGGCCCTAGGTTCATTGGACCGTATCGAGTCACCAAGCAAGTGGGACCAATATCCTATCAGCTAGAGTTACCTCCAGAGCTAAGTAAGATCCACGATGTATTCCATATGTCCATGTTGAGAAAATATTGTACGATCCATCCCAAGTCTTACCAGTGGGAGCAATCACCCTCAATGAGAATCTATCTTATGAAGAAGAACCTGTCACAATATTAGTACATGAGGTAAATGAATAGAAGAACAAATTTGTTCCCTTGGTCAAGTTTCTTTGAGAAATCACACTCTGGAAGAAGCAACCCGAGAGACTGAGGAATCCATGCGAGGTGAGTATCCTCAACTCTTTAGTTACCAATGAGTCAGGTGATTTCGAGGACAAAATTATTTTAAGGGGGATTGAAATGTAACTCCCTGAAACCCGGCTTCTTAGAATTAATTAAAAAAATAATGAATTCATTATTCAGATGCACCCTGAGTTAATTACAAATATTCGTCAGTAAATTGATAAGTCCATTTTGTTCTTATTTTATTCTACATATTTTAAACATTGTTGCACGGAAATAGTAGTAAATCAGTGCATAATTACATGTTAATAGGAATAATATTTGTCGGTTTTTTCTTAGAGGAATAATAATTTGGTTCTAAAATAAATTAATTTAGATTTTTGATTTCTTACTCATATGTGAGAGAAAAAGGTTTCAAAATGAGAATTATTATTGAAGAGAATATATGGAGAGGCAGAAACAGTGTTCGGGGACATAAGAAAGCGAAAGCAGGCCCAAATTGCAACCAAGCCGCGAAGACCAAAAAACGAGCCTGAATCGTCCAGCCCATGGATGCTTTGCACCATTGGATGCTTCAACTAGATTGGTTCCCAAGAGTGACACGTGGCGAGTCTGGTGACCATCGACTAGCTGGACTACGTGGTATAGCGCCTATATCTTGACGCTTGGCGTTAGACGGCATGGGTGGGACGCTTTGCGTCTGACCCTATAAAAGTAGCGCCTCTCCTTCTCATTTTTCATCTAATTTTCAGTCAAATTTTCCCTTTCCCATAATTCCGAACTCCTTTAATTATTTTATAATTTCAATTTAGTTTTTTTGGTGTTTTCTCGAAGCAAATTGTAGCCCAGTCTCCCTATAACACCTCGGTCCCCATCCTGGCTGCAAGTGTTCGCTCATACGATTGTGGACTGGTCCCACAAACCAACACAAGTTTTTCCCGCGTACTTTGTCCTCACTCATGCGCGCCCAAGGACTTCCCAAGGGTCACCCATCCAAGAATTTCTCTAAGTCAAACACGCTTAACTTTGGAGTTTCTAAGTGATGAGCTCTCGAAAAGAATATGCACCTTGTTGGTATGAGTAGTACTATCAATCCTTTTAAGCATTTTCTTTTCCAATTTATTTCTTTTTAAATCAGGGTATTACATTCACCCCTACTTAGGAATGCAACGTCCTCGTTGCATCTTTTTTTCAAACCCCTAGATCTTCCACGCCATGTGAACTAAGCTTGTTGGCCCGTCACGGTCGCAGGGTTGCTCTGATACCATTTGTAACACCCCGACCCCATCCAAGCCGTAAAGTGTTCTCTCATAGGATTGTAGACTAGCTCCACAAACCAACACAAGTCTTTCCCGCGCACTTTGTCTTCACTCATGCGTGCCTAAGGACTTCCCAGGGTTCACCCATCCAAGAATTTCTCCAAGTCAATCATGCTTAAATTTGGAGTTTCTAAGTGATGAGCTCTCGAAACTAGATGCACCTTATTGGTATGAGTAGTACTATCAATCCTTTTAAGTTTTAAGCCTTTTCTTTCCCCAATCCATTTCTTTTCAATTCAGGGTATTATACTCCCGATACCGTGAAAGCGTTAAAGTAAGTTTTCTATTTTAATTATCAATTTAAGTATGCCTTTTCTATGTGAATGCATGTTTAGATCTGATATTATGAGGAACTAAATTTATTAGGGTGTGTTTCATAGTAGGGTAATAGTAGTTTTTGAATGAGATTATTATGTTGGAATTTTTCTTTATGAATTAAAAATTACTAGCTGTTATTATTGTGAATTTTAATTGTGATTAATTAATTGAAAAATTATTAATGAAACTTTGAAAAAGATAATTGAGTTCATTGAGAAATCATGATCAAGATTAAATCGCATCCTTTAAACGAATAGTTAATTTCTATAAATGGAATTAGTTATTGAATAAATGTTAAACAATATTTATTCACTAGTAGTAAGATTTGAATTGAAAATTATTCCAACTAATAAGAGTAATCTATAAATAGTCATTACCTAAAAATGAATTACACCTCTATGTTTTAAAACTAAGATATCAATCACCACCCTTTTTAAGACTTTGATTGCTTGAAAACTTTCCAATTCAACTAGTAAATCTTGTTCAGCTAGGTCCTACTTTCACTTTCCCTTAAGCCGATTATAGAGACAACACAAGAACAAACTAGTCTTACGGTTACGTTGATTCCCTTTACTACAATTGTTTTATCATATGGCACCCTTGTCAGGGATCGGTGCAGAAAGTTGTTAGTAGGATTTTCTTTTTAGCTGACCTGAGAGATCGTTTAGATTTTCAAAAAAAAACTAAAAAAATCTTTAATTTTGAAATCCCTTCCTAAAATAAAATTTATTTTTGAAAGAAAAGAAAATAAATAATTTCGAAATTAATTAATTAAAAAACTTACGGAAATAATATTCTTTCGGGAACAAATAATCCCGAATTATTTCATCAACGAACAACTCCAATCCCGCGTCAACTAAGGTTCAACGACAAAGAGAAAAGAGAAGAAGAAACTTCAGAAGAAGAAGAAGAACCTTCCAAAGAAGAAGAAGAAATGGCGGCAAATCCACGAAGAACGATTTTACAAGCCATGAGCTTTGCTTATACAGAAGAGCACCCAATAGGACTTCCAGCTAGTGAAGCCCATACCTTTGAGATCAAGCCAGCTATGACCCAGATGGTATCCTACAACCAGTTTGGAGGCTCTATTTTGAACCTCAGATTTCCGAGTAAAATCTTTAGTTTTGTAGTGGTTGAAATGATCCTTCTCGATCTATTAGATCTAAGGAATAAGACCGTCCTAGAGACTGCAAAGGGAGCTTGATAATCCATGGAGATAGAGGCAGAGGCTCTAAAGTGAAGGTGACAACAAAGGATTTAATTTCTTGACGGATAATTCAAGAGGAGAGGTAGTGTTTGAGATGATAGAGAGAGAAACATTAGCTAGATCTAGGATTCTTGAGATATGGTGAGAGAAGGTGTGTCTCAGAGTTAATTTCAAGGGTAGTTGTGTCATTTCATACGTGAAAAGTTGCTTTTTATAAAAATAGGAAGATAATTTTAGGAGGATTTAAAATGGAAAATGAGAAGTTAATACTAAGGAGGGAGTATAATAATAATAATAATAATAATAATAATAATAATAATAATAATAATAATAATAATAATAGTAATAATAATAATAATAATAATAACTAATATAATAATGATTGCTGAACATATTTGTAGGGATGGTTGAACATATTTGGACACACTATAATAATAATAATAATAATAATAATAATAATAATAATAATAATAATAATAATAATAATAATAATAATAATAATAATAACTATAATAGATTAAATGTTAACGTGGTGGTTGTATTTTTATTAATGTTATGTCTTTTTATTATTAAATAATAAGCTTTATTTTTTTAGTCATTTTATTTTAATTTTTATTAAATTGTTGTAGTAATGTTCTATATTTTGATTCTTCTACATATAAATTCATTGAACTTAACATTATCTGTAATTTATTTTTCATTTATTATGTTTTAATAAAAAATTATTATTATTATTTGATACGGAGTACTATAATTATTATTTGATATGTTTTAATAATTGATAAGGTATATTTTTTTTATATCTTTATGGTTCTTTGTAAATTTTGGTTTTATTAATATTACAAATCTATCAAAATTATAAATGTCAATATAGCAATAACAAAAACAAATTTTCCTTTTTTCAGGCAGAGGTTGCAGGTGGAGTTTGCAGGAAGTGTGGCGCAACTGTATGTTCGTGCAAAGTAGTTTTTCTTGGATGTTATTTTTTGAATAATATTACTATCATTATTTANTTATTTGATATGTTTTAATAATTGATAAGGTATATTTTTTTTATATCTTTATGGTTCTTTGTAAATTTTGGTTTTATTAATATTACAAATCTATCAAAATTATAAATGTCAATATAGCAATAACAAAAACAAATTTTCCTTTTTTCAGGCAGAGGTTGCAGGTGGAGTTTGCAGGAAGTGTGGCGCAACTGTATGTTCGTGCAAAGTAGTTTTTCTTGGATGTTATTTTTTGAATAATATTACTATCATTATTTATATTTTGGTATTAGATATGATAGTATATTAATTGATTCTAATGATAATAATATTGTTATTATTTTTTTATTATTACTCTGTATTAAGTTACAATTAGAAAAGAAATTATGAAGTTGGTTATCAGTTTTGGGGTCATAAATCCGATTTTTGAAAAAACCATTATAATAAATTGATAACAGAATAAGTTGGAAGATTAACTAAAATAATTATAGTAATTCTATTAGTAATATTTCAAAGTCATGTTTTTTTAATTTATATAAATGTTAATGACGGTTGGGATTGTTAAGTATGAAATTATTGATTCTTTAATTATTTTGAAGTTGGCTCAAAATTATTTAGTCTGCACGCGGCCCAAAACTAATGTATATACATTCGATTCGATATGTCAACGAATATATATGAAGATAAATATAAAAATTTATAACCAATATGCTTCTTCATAATATATACAAAAACGTCAAAAAGTAGAACATATAGAGTACTCCGTAGTTTGTTTCTTTTGTTATTTTAGAGCACTCTTTTGCACTTGATAGTACACATTTTTGCTTTTGGGTGCCATATAAAAAGTACTTAAATAATTTTAAATGAATGTGTAAATATGAATCAAAAATGGAGAAACGGATAAGAATGCCAATACCATAAGTTCATATTTCATAAAACCTAATCACTAGTTCACTCAAGAACAGTATACCTCGTCATTTCCTTTTATTTTTGAGTAAAAGCACTTCGATAAATAGTCGTGCAGCTGAGCAATCTTCTGGTACTCTCAGACGCTATGGTTTTCAAAATTTGAATAGAAATTGACGGTGTAAATTACCTAACTGGGCAAACTATACTACACCGGGTCTAGGATTGTTTACTTGATTCGGAAAGTAAAGAGGTAAAAACACACAAATGACCGGAAGGACTGTAGGTGGAAACACCTGTAGCCCAATTGATATTTTAAATATAGGAGAATACATGGGAGCTTTTACAAGGGAAATTAGAGAGAATAAATTCGGATCCCTTCCTTTGAAGGTTACAGGAGTATATATACTAAGTTTGAAGGGAACAGGACATCGTGCACCCACGTTGCGGCACGTTCTTGGATGGTGGGAGATGATGGCCTTCGTCCTCTTGCTGCCTTGTCATCTTGCGAGGAATATTGCTCTCTTGTCACGTAGCACCTTGGATGGAATGTTCCAGCATCTCCAGCAATCTTCCACTGATTTTGGTCGCTACGTTCCTAGCCCCCTTTGGACTCTTCTCTACCGACACTTCACAACCCTAGATATCTTACCGGGTGATTCCTTAAGGATGAGCTTCCCGAAGCGGGTGATAAACGAGACAGTAGAGTAGTTTGACCAGTGTACTATCCGAAGTATACCGATCAACTTCCTGGTCGACCACGTATCCCTTTACTGATGATTGAGGTCTCTCTCCTTAGGACTATCAACTTGACCGGTCAAACATTCAGACATTTCCTTTGACCGGTTCTGGGTGGATTACACCCATCAATAAGCCCTCCACTTCTCGGCCATGTAAAATATCATGGACAGGAAGTAAAACCCTGAGAAATGGACCCAAAATTCGAATTTCATGTCTTTCCTGCTAAATATTTTCAAAATTTGAATTTTGAAAAGTACTGATTTCGACACGTGTTGTGCGCAGGCATGGCAACAGTCGCGCCTCTCCGTCTCCCCATGCGTGATGATTGCGCCGCCTGACGCAGCATGTTCTGCTGAGGCCACGTCGCCCCTCTCAAAATTTTTCTCACCTATATAAGGGCCTTCAACCTATTCAATTCTTCACTTTCTCTCGCGCGTTCTTATGAGTTTCATCGGTCAAGTCCTCTGCTCTAGCCTTCCAGTCCTCTGAGCCAAGTAAGCTCCTCTTCCTTTCTTAATTTTCTTTCCCGGTCATGTCTTCTTCAGATGGTCAAAACATCTCATCCTCAGATGCCTACGCATCCGAGGAATCTATGACCTCCTCTTCCTCGACCGGGTATTATTCTTCTGATTTCAAACCCCGGTCGATTCCCAACCCCACTGTCCGTGAACCAGAGCCGGTTAATCAGATGCCCGGTCAGGATTTTATGGAGAGGGATGAACCGGTTGATGACGAGCCAGCTCCCAATGACCCTGACAACGAGTCATATATGGAGTGGGAGGACCGGCTAGAAGCAGCCGGCTATTTTCCCCTCCCCACCAGTTACGTCTTAGACATCTACCTCCGGGTATCTAAAATTGCACAAAACAAAGCCCGTAGGAATCTCCCGGTAGGTTATGTCCTTGAATATGACCCCAATTGGCCCAACATCATCGAGCCTCACCGGGAGGATAGAATAGGTTTCCATATCATTTCCTTGGAGGGCGGCATCCTCTTCCCCCTTTGCCCCCCTCCTAGTTGAGTTGTGTCATTGCCTCAAAATTCTTCCCGAGCAAATCACACCCAATGCTCACCGCTTCCTCAATGCGTATGTAAATATCTGCACCCACCTACGCATCGATCCATCTCTTCGCCTCTTTCTCTATTTGTTTGAAGTCCTTCCCGGTAAGTCGGGTTGCGACGATTTTGTTTACTTCAAAGGCCGAAACGGCCGCAAGTTCATTTCTGACCTTCCACAAAGCAACCGGCTGTGGAAGGAGAAATTTGTTTTTATAAAATTTCCCACAGTCTCTCCTCTTGCCGACTTAAAATGGAGCGACCACATCATGAAACCAGAGTATGCCGAGTCGGCCACTGCTCCAGACCTAGAGGAAAGTTTGGAGAAGCTCCTTCAAGGGGACCCGTTCACTGGGCAAATGTTCCACTACGAGAGTTGGATCTAGAGGATCCAACCGGGTGGCAAGGGTACCCCTCGGACCCATGAAGCAGCGGGGCACGGGGTACCCTCCCCGGGCAACACTGCAGAGGCCGGGGGCCCAAGTCACCCTGGTATCCTTCATTCCTTTTTCTTATTTTTTTTCTTGTACCGGTCGTAGTTTGAATACTTACAATTTTTCTCGTTCTGCAGACATGAACTTCAAATCCTTCAGCATTCCGAAGAAGACCGGTGCGTCTTCTTCTGCAGGCCCGTGCACCTCTTCCACGAAAACTGTACCTGTCCAACAGGAGACTGTTGAGATCGTTGATGAAGAGGAAGTTCCCCAAACCGAGGAGGCTGCTCAGCCAGGGAAGGTCCTGGTGAATCCTCCTCCCCACAAGGGGAAAGGGAAAACGAGGACGAAGCAAGCGGCCACCACTCACCCGACGGCTAAGAGGAAGATGGGAGAAAGTGCCTCGGTGGTGGAATCACTGGAGGAGCTCTGGGTAAAAATGGGGCGCCGGCTAAAAGAGGTAAGACCGGCCTTGTTCATTTCCTTCTTCTTAACGTTTTAAAACCCAGATTAACTCTTATTCCTCCTTTCTTTTTCAGATTAGCGAGGTGGGACCGGACGCCCTGGAGCAGCTCTCAGAGGATTCTCCTTCCCGGTCATCTCAGTTGGAGGAGAAACTGAAGAGGTTTGAGGCTCACAACCAGGAGCTACAAGACCTGATGGGCCGTCAGCTCGATGAGATGGCCAATCTCTCTAGGATGGCCGGGGGCGGCAGAGGCTGAGATCCTCCGACTGAAGGAGGAGAACCTGAAGATGATGGGGGAAGTCTCCCAACTAAAGGAGGACTCGGAGTTGAAGGAGCGGGAGTTCCCCGGTAGAGCCCGCCAATGGATGGGGGAAAACCTAGAGGAGGTTGCCCGGGTGGTCACATCAGGAGAGAACAGTGGAGGCTTTCAAGCTGATCTACCCGGAGCCCCTTGGGAACGACATGATCATGCAGGTCGGTTCTTTTGGGTTTATGGCTAGCCAGAAAAGAGACTGGGAGGCCACACATGGAAATTTGGCTGAACGGGATCCGGATTTTACCGCTGAATCTTATGGCCTAGCCGGATTTTTCCCCAGCTGCGCCCGGTTACCTTTTGTAATATTTAAAACATCTTCATTTCCCTGGGTATGCCCGGTGTACTTGTAAACATTTGAATTTTAGTTTTCTCAGTTTGAATGCCATGTTTCATCTTCCGCCCAGTTAGCTTTGCTCTTTTGAATGCTTCCTCTTTGATATTTTGACCGTGTTAACTTCAATTTTTTGGCTTTCAATCGAATCTACTCAGAATCCGCCCAGTATAACTCCAATTTCTCGCTTTGAATATCTTCCTTTTGATGATCAATTTGAATATGATCAACTTCAGTGTAACCGGTAGATCCCCTCTTCACGGTCTGACCCGCTTAACTGACTCGGCTTGAAGAACTTTCGAAGTTCTATTGTGTTAATACCCAACCGGGGTATGCCTCTTTTTTTTTGACCGGGTAGGTTGTAGGTGGAGACACCTATAACGTAGTAGGTTCTTGAAGTATCCTTAACCGGTAAGAATACTAGAGATTTAACCATGTCGAATGGTTTCGAACCCTCTCTAAGGTTCAAATGCACCCTTCTTCCAGGCCCCCCTCTTCCAGGTGATTAAGTCTTTTAATGGCTCTGTGATATCCACTATCCCTGGAAGGCCTTAGCTCACCCCCCGTTCAAGTCTTCCCTGAGAAGGGGGAATCCGAACCGGTCGGAATAGGATGCATTGCGGTGAACGATCATCTTCTATTTCTTTTAATGGGCATCTTTTAGTCCCCAATCAATTTGACGGTTTCAGCTGATTCCCCGATACTGGTCAAACCTCATGGGCCCGTGTAAGTACGGTTCGAACCTTCTTCCAGGTCCAGCCTTCTTGCAGCCTTGCAGGCATACCCCTTATCCGAGGCCCCTATTTCGGGTTTTATTTTTATTATTATACTGAGCAAGATCGGTGTAGTAACCAGCGTGCCAGGTCCAAGCCTGTGTCTCAGTTGGCTTATCCGAGTGGATTCGATCCACCCGGGAAGCCCTCATTGGATAGGTTTGACCTATAATTTCTGCTGCTACCTTGTAGAGTGTTGAATTTCATCAATCCGATTGCTTGATAATAGAGATCGGCCTTGCCTAGTATTACAATCATTTGTAGAATTTTCTCAGATGATGAGAATTCCAAGTTCTTTCTACCAGTAGACCTTCTAGAGTTTTTAACCGGTAGGTTCCCGGGCGAATAATAGCTCTCACCCGGTAAGGGCCCTCCCAATTCTTTGATAGCTTTCCTCCATCTCCCCGCTTACTAGCTTCTCTTCTTCGTAGGACGTAATCACCAACTTGGAAGTAACGGGGTCCAACCTTGTCATGGAATTTCTTCACAACCTGTTGGTAAGTGCTCACTTCCGCAGTCATCCTCCGCTCCTCAACCAAGTTGAGCTCGGCCAGGTGGTCCTCTTCATTTTGTTGGGGTTGGTAGTTTGTTTCCCTGAATGTTGGGAATTCAGCTTCGATGGGCAATCTTGCTTCACACTCGTAAGTTAGGGAAAACAGAGTTTCCCCATGAGCCCTCCTGGGTGTCACTCGAAATGCCCATATGATGTGTGGAAGTTCTTCCAACCATTTATTTCCTGCTTCCCCCAGCCGTTTCTTCAAGCCGTCCACAATCGTTCGGTTGGCGTTCTCCACTTAGCCATTGCCTTGGGGGTATGCTACCGAAGAGCGATTGTGTTTGATTCCGAAGCCCTCCAAGTATTCAGTGAACCTTGGATTTTTGAATTGCGGGCCATTGTCGGTAATGAGATTCATGGGAGCTCCAAATCTTGTGATGATGTTCTTCCAAATGAACTTCTTGCATTGTTGCGTGGTGATGTTGGCCAACGCTTCGGCTTCGATCCATTTGATGAAGTAATCGATGGCCACGATTACAAATTTCTTTCTTCCCTTGGCGATTGGGAATGCTCCAATGATATCAACCCCAAATCTAGCAAATGGGATAACATTCGACATGGGGTGATAGTAGGTCGCCGGTCTGCCTGGATACTTGTAGAAGACTTGGCACGTTCTGCATTTCTAAACATGCCTCTCACAGTCCTGGACGATTGTTGGCCAGTAATACCCCAACAAATGATGCGCTGGGATAGAGTACGAGACATTTGATGTGCTGCGCATACCCCTTCATGGACTTCGGCTATGACTCACTTTGCCTCCCGGTTGGTCAGGCATCTCAAGAGTGGTCCCCCGAATGCCCTTTTGTACAGCATCTCGTCAATGACTTGGAACCGGGGTGCCCTAAGTTTTACTTTTCGCACCCGGTCATTTTTCTCTGGCAAGCTTGTAACACCCCAACCCGCGTGACCAAATACAAGGATCAGCGGATCGGGTTGCTAAAATATTGTATTCAGACACAATAATTTCCCAAACAATTTAGAACATTTAATCCAAAACAATATTTAAATATCCATCGGAGTTAACAAAACGATGCAGAAGCCTTTAAGTACTTAATCAAAATACAACTTTAATTTGGGTTCTTGCCCATAATAAATTCAAACTTGCATATTAAACCAGATAACTCCTCAAGCCAGCATCCATCCACCTCTCTGCCCTCGCTGCCCTCCAGGATAGTTCCTTATTCATCATTCATGTTACCTACGTGTAGCAAATAGGAAAAAGGGCTACACACTCAGCATTGAAGCTAAGTGAGAACTATCTAACGTTTCGACTATGCACATAGACGAACCCACTAGCTCATAACTTCATACAATATCATGCACACAAGTTCAACAGTAATAATATCACATAACAATTATCAGATAAAAAAACTATATTATAACAAGATACTTTAGATCACTTACCTTTATTCTTCATCTGCATATGCTAATATCACAATATTCAAGTCATTACATTAACTCATATCCAACACTAGCTCATAACGTATTCTAGGCTAAGGCCAATTTCTCATTATCCACATTCTTATCTTAGGACTTAGAGCCACTACCTACGGCCATGACTCAAAGTCTATTCTATGACATCAGAACCACTACCTACAGCCATGATTCTGGTCAACCTGGTACCTATGGCGCTCGTTGGGTGGAACCTCCAATCCTACGGACCAGATCCCAGATTCCATGTACGTACATCTTTACCCGAATGCCACTCGACTAAGTCCACAAGGCTCTACACCTATTGTCAGCTTACAATCTCAATTCTCTCAAAGCAGTCCTAGAATTCTTCTAGGTAACTTACATCATTAACCTACTTTAATTAATCCAATCCAAGCTACCAACAACCTCAGTTTACTTTATACGTACAAGGCATATCACATTATATCCATTATAAATCAAGAGCATAGAAATAATTAAATAGGTCATCAAGCAATCCAAATAGCGGCCTAATGTCAAGTGTAAACACCTTCCATTTACCGTCATGCAACACGTAAGGTTTCAGAGTCAATTCAGGTTCCAAATCGGGTCAAACAATCAAATAAAGGAACTGCAGCTGTCGGTACAGTACCCTTCACAGTACCTCGGTACTGCCAGGCGGTACCTGGGTACCGTCGGTACGGTACTGGTATACCGCCGGGTTCCAGCTACTGGAAGCAGGGCAGAACAAAAGGGGGTTTGGGTACGGTACCTCGGTACCGTCGACCGGTACCTTGGTACCGTTTGGTTCCTTTAACGCACAGTAAATCGAAAATCTAGCAGAAACAAGGCATGCTTTGTTGATTCGTCAATTAACAATATATATAACATCCGTAGGGCAAATGATACACGTTACCACGTAATTAGGGGTAGAAAACGTACCTCGTTCTCCATCGATTCATCAATTTCCAATAAATCATAATTTATAATAATAATTCAATTAATAACAAATAAATCACGTAATCAATCATACGAAATTACGAACGTGAATTTCAAATCTATATAATAAATCTAGCATTAGATGTGCAAGCTCGATTAATTGATGAATTAAACAAATCAAATTCTTCAAGAAGATGTCGGCCAACTCAGTAGCAAAGCAACGGCTACCCAGCGGCCTCCGGCTCGTGGCGACAGTCAGCTCCTCCGGCAACGGCGGCGGCGGCACAGTGGTATTCGCGGTAGCAGCTTCACACGGCGTGATCGGCCAAATCCCCTGTGCGGCTGTCGTGCTTGTTCCCTCCTTCTCTTTCATTGTGCGTGTATTTATAAAGGGGAATTGGGAGGGTTTTATGTGCGTACGGGTATAGGTTTAGGATTTAGGAAGCTTTGTTTATTTATTATTATTTTATTATTAAAATCTTTATATTTATTTATTGAACTGTTATGTCCATTTTACTCACCACGTTTTACTCGTATGTCCAAATTTAACAAACTTTATACCGTGGTCACCATTTTGCGAGATCTACTCGAAAACCTAATTTTTATTTAAAACGGACAACTTTACAAATAATTCATATTTTTGAGTAAATAAATTTAATATTTATTTTTATTAAAATCGCGGCTAACTACTAAGCCGGTTTTTGGGTCGTTGCAAAGCTTCCGTCTGCCAAGTATTTCATAAGGTCGTCCATCCTGTGATTGTCTGCTCCTACCGTTGTTGAGTTTGACCGGTCAGGTTGTCCTTCGATCGTGGCAACTTTCAGTTTCTCAATGCTAGCATGGTCAAGGATTTCAACCCGGGCAAGTTTTGAAACATGCTCGGGGGCAGACTGCGTCAATTTGGAGAAAAGATATGCGTCTGTGTTTTTTGCCCGAGGGATTTGGGCAATCTTGAATTCTGCAATGCCTTTCAATAAGGCTAGCACCAGATCCTTGTACTGTGCCATTCGCCCTTCCCTTGCTTCCATGTTGCCGGTCACTTGCCCAACAATTAGACTAGAGTCAAATTTTATACTGACCCGATCGATTTTAAGTGCTTGGGCAAGTCGAAGTCCTCTAGCAAGAGCTTCGTATTCTGCTTCATTGTTCGTCAACTTGAAGTTGAAGACGAGCGCATGGTAGATCTTGAATCCTTCTGGAGTGGTAAACACCATACCACCCCCGTATCCTTTAGGGCCAGATGCCCCATCCACGGCCATTTCCCACCATTGCTTGGTAGGTTGACTGCCCGGTAGGTCTGGAGTTAGACCAGTCATCTCCACCAGAAAATCTGCAAGGGTCTGTCCCTTGATTGCTGATCTTGGTCGGTACTCGATATTAAATTGAGTTAACATCATTGCCCATTTCACCATCCTTCCGGAGGATGTTGAATTTCGCAATACTGCACCCAACGGTTGGTCGGTCAAGACTTCAACCGGGTGAGCCTGGAAGTATGATGTTAACTTTTTTGCGGAGACGAAAAGCACGTATGCTGTTTTTCCCATCGCCGTATATCAACTTTCTGCTCCGTTTAGTGCTTTGCTCACATAATAAATGGGCTTTTGTGCCCCATCATCTCTTATTAAAACGGAGCTTACAGCATTTGGGGAAATCCCTAGGTACAGATACAGAGTTTCACCCGGTTCGGGTTTTCACAATACAATGTCTGACACTAGGTACTCCTTCAGCTCTTCAAATGCTTTTTAGCAGTCGTCGTCCCAAGTAAATGTGTTGGCCTTCTTCAGTACTTTGAAGAATGGCAGGGATCTCTCAGCTGACCGTGAGAGGAACCGGCTAAGGGCTGCTAGACGACCGGTCAACTTTTGTACATCCCTAACCGAGGTAGGGGCTTGCATCTCGGTGATAGCCCGGATTTTCTTCGGGTTGGGCTCTACTCCTCTCCTGGTCACCATGAATCCCAAGAACTTCCCGGTACGAACCGCGAAGATGCATTTCTTGGGATTCAACCGGAGGTTGTATCTCGCCATAATATCGAATGATGCACGCATATCAGCTGTGTGATTGAGAGATACCTGGCTCTTGATTAGCATGTCGTCCACGTAAGCCTCCATGGTCTTTCCCAGCAGTGGCTTGAAGAGTTTGTTTACCATGTGCTAGTAAGTGGCTCTTGAGTTTTTTCAATCCAAACGCCATTACTCGGTAACAATATGTTCCTTCGGGTGTGAGGAATGACGTTTTCTCCTCACCTTCCTTGGCCATGTAGATTTGGTGGTAGCCCTTGAAGGCATCCATGAAACTTAGGAGTTCGCACCCCGCAGTTTCGTCCACAATTTGATCAGGGCTAGGCAAGGGGTATGAATCCACCAGACAAGCCTTGTTTAAGTCCGTGTAATCCACACACATCCTCCATGTGTCGCCCTTCGGGGCAAGGACCATGTTGGCCAACCAATCCGGATATTTAACCTCCCGGATGTGACCAACAATGAGGAGATCCTTCACCTCCTTTCGAACGAAATCTCGACGGTCTCTGGCCAGATACCTCTTCTTCTTGCGTACTAGTCGACTTGCTTTTCTTATCGCCAACCGGTGGCACAATGACGGAGCGATCAATCCAAGGCATATCCGCTAGGCTCTATGCGAATATGTCTGCATATTCTTGGAGGACCCGGGTTATCTCCATCTAGAGGTCCTCTAGGAGATTTGCCCCTATTCTGACCATCCTTGAGGGGTCACCCGGGTGGAGTTCGATCTCCACCATTTCAGCCTCGGGTTTCAGCTTCTCCCGAGTCTCTCCCTTTGTGATTTCTTGGGAGATGACGTAGACTCCCTTTGTCATCTTTTTCACTGCCCGGGCATAGCACTCACGGGCATTCCTTTGGTCGCCTCTCACCTCTCCCACACCACCCGGCGTGTGCAACTTCATGCACAAGTGAGGCATGGAAATGATCGCTCGGACTTTGTTGATGCATGGCATTCCAAGAATTGTGTTGTGGACGCATTTGATGTCCACAACGATGAACCGCATCTTCTTCCACACGGTTTTATCCCCCGATCCAAGTTCGATCGGTATGACTATTGATCCTTCAGCTTCCACGGTATCTCCCGTGAAGCCTGAGAGAGGAGTTTTCAGGGGTTCAAGTTGTGTCCGACACAACCTGAGTTTTTGGAAAGTCTCCATGTACAAAATGTTGACACTGCTGCCGGTGTCAATTAGTACCCGGGCGATATCCAGCCCGTTAATGTCCATGGTGATGACCAAAGGATCATTATGATCTTCATCGATAGCGAGAAGGTCCCGATCAGTGAAGACAATTGGTTCCCTCCTTGTCTGCTTCCGTCTGACCGGGTCAGCACTTACTTCTCCGACGTGTATGCTGCGGACCCAATTCTTCCGTTGCGCGGCCGAGTCACCACCTTCAGGCCCGCCAAAGATCATTCCAATGTGCTCTTTGTCAGGGGCAGGCTGTTGTTCTCTCTGCCGGTTATTCCTTCGCCGGTTATCATCCCGGTCATTTCCTGGTGCTGCTCGCATAATCCATTGATGGTTCCTCTCCTGGATCTTCTGCAGATACTCCTTGCCTAGTTCACCGATATCTATCATCTACCGGACGACCCCCCTAACACTCTTACATTCTAAAGTGCTATGGGAGTCAGACTTGTGGTACGAACAATACGTGTCCGACCACTGTCGTCCCGGTTGACTGGTAGGATTTACCGGAGAATTGACCGGTGCTTTCCTTATTTCCTCACATTCTTCTGAATTGACCACACGAATGACTGGGTCACAATGGTGCTTTGTCCGGCTAGGTCCCGATGCCTCTTCCTTCTTGACTTGCACCGGCTTGGGCTTGAAACCATGCTCACCTTCTTTCTTCGCCCAGAGTTGGGTTTCAGCCTAAGCAAATTCCTAGGCCGTGTGGTAGGCTTCTTGATACGTGGCTGGTGGTTTCCGGCAGAACTCTTTGTATAGTTCCCCGGCACGTAAGCCATTCAAGAGGAGAGACAAGACTGTCTTGTCATCTATCTCTTTAACCCTGAGTGAGGTTCTCAGATTCCCTCTGCCCGGCTGTACTAAGATATGTGAACTTCTTCCTCTTAGTACAATTCTCCTGGAACTTGGCCTTGAATTTTGAGGCCAAGTCGGTGAACGAATCAATGCTTCCTGGGCGAAGCTTGTTGAACCATTCAGTAGCTTGGTTCCGCAAGGTTTGGAAGAAAAGGAGACACTTTTCTTTGTCTATGCACCCATTCATGGTTGCACTTTGATTGAAAGAATCCAAGTGAATTTCTAGAGCTTCCTTCCTGGTAAACCTTGGGGCATCTATCTTGACCTTTCGTGGCATGGTAAGCCGGTTAACCACCGGTCCGTGTGGCTGACTTTCTGCTTCCTCTTCTTGACGGGAAGCCCTTGTTCTCACAGCCTCCTGCCGGTTCGACCGGGAGCGCTGGGTACGGGCAGGCTCGGCCTCCCTCCCCTCGCCTAACCGAGCGAAAGCGCTAACATGGGCAACGCTCTACCCCAATCTCAGCTTGGCCGACTTCCTCTAACCTTCTTCCCTATCCCCAAGCCTTTCGAAGGCGGAGTTTCGGGAAGTTGCTGGCCGGATGGTTTTTCCTTTCTTTTTCTTGTGGGTCCTAGGAATGTCCCACTCATCGTCACTGCTCTCAACTGAGACGCAATGACCGTCGGGAGTAATCTGGGGATTTGTACCCTGCGGAGGACGTGACGGCCCAGCGGCGTTAAGCGCACCGGTTAAGTTGACAGGGGCCACAGTGCTAACCAGCTGCGGCTAGAAAAAATTAGATTGTGCATTTAGTGGTAGAGAGCGTACAGATCGTAAGTGAAAGATTGTGCGAGAAACTGGTGCCTTCCTTATCATCCTGCCTTAAAATCAAACCCAAAATTTTGATTAGATTTGCTCCAAAATTAGGGATTTGGAGTTACCTCATACCCAGGCTTCGCACTTGGGGCACAACTGGAACCCTAAGAGGCGAATTGGCGATGGAAGATGACTAAGCGACTCTGTTCAAAGAAGGAAACCCTCAGATCGTAACTGCAACTACCTTCTTCAAAAAATGGCGATGTTTTTTAGGAAAGGAAATGGTGATGGATTGAATATGTTGTACGTGCCTCCTAATTGACGGCTAGATTTTGTCAATGCCTATAAAATTGGGCCGTTGAATCATTTGGTTTGGAGCGAAAATTGGATTGAATTTCAATCTCATTTTTTTATTCTACTTTTATATATATAATAGATGTGGCATGTGCTTGGAGACGTGGGAAGTTGTTGAAGTAGAGGGATGATAAACAGTTTCCATTATCACTAAATATATTTATTTAATTCAAAATAGTAATATTATAATTTTTAATATTTGAATTTTTGAACTTTATCCAACTGTGTGTGTAGGAATATGGCACTGTACGTGCGTGTAGTAGTTAAGGTATATTTTTTTTATATCTTTATGGTTCTTTGTAAATTTTGGTTTTATTAATATTACAAATCTATCAAAATTATAAATGTCAATATAGCAATAACAAAAACAAATTTTCCTTTTTTCAGGCAGAGGTTGCAGGTGGAGTTTGCAGGAAGTGTGGCGCAACTGTATGTTCGTGCAAAGTAGTTTTTNTTTGAATTTTTGAACTTTATCCAACTGTGTGTGTAGGAATATGGCACTGTACGTGCGTGTAGTAGTTAAGGTATATTTTTTTTATATCTTTATGGTTCTTTGTAAATTTTGGTTTTATTAATATTACAAATCTATCAAAATTATAAATGTCAATATAGCAATAACAAAAACAAATTTTCCTTTTTTCAGGCAGAGGTTGCAGGTGGAGTTTGCAGGAAGTGTGGCGCAACTGTATGTTCGTGCAAAGTAGTTTTTCTTGGATGTTATTTTTGAATAATATTACTATCATTATTTATATTTTGGTATTAGATATGATAGTATATTAATTGATTCTAATGATAATAATATTGTTATTATTTTTTTATTATTACTCCGTATTAAGTTACAATTAGAAAAGAAATTATGAAGTTGGTTATCAGTTTTGGGGTCATAAATCCGATTTTTGAAAAAACCATTATAATAAATTGATAACAGAATAAGTTGGAAGATTAACTAAAATAATTATAGTAATTCTATTAGTAATATTTCAAAGTCATGTTTTTTTAATTTATATTAATGTTAATGACGGTTGGGATTGTTAAGTATGAAATTATTGATTCTTTAATTATTTTGAAGTTGGCTCAAAATTATTTAGTCTGCACGCGGCCCAAAACATTGACTTAAAAGAAATACGACCTAGTTTTGTGATTAAGCTCAAAGTTTTTTGGTTGTTTTTTTCATTTTGGTTTTGTAAAGAGGTATATAGATAAATCTCGCTTAATTTACTTTTGTCTGATTAGAGAGCATACTTTCTCTTAGGGTTGTAAAACAAATGATTAATTTTTATTCGGTTCGTGATTCGTATTCGAAATCAATGATTCGTATTCCAAAAAAAGAATACGAATAAGAATATAAATATTTATTAAAATTCAAATGAAAACAAATACAAATACGAATGTATATACATTCGATTCGATATGTCAATGAATATATACGAAGGTAAATATAAAAATTTATAACCAATATACTGCTTCATAATATATACAAAAACATCAAAAAGTAGAACATATAGAGTACTCCGTAGTTTGTTTCTTTTGTTATTTTAAAGCACTCTTTTGCACTTGATAGTACACATTTTTGCTTTTGGGTTCCATATAAAAAGTACTTAAATAATTTTAAATGAATGTGTAAATATGAATCAAAAAATGGAGAAACGGATAAGAATGCCAATACCATAAGTTCATATTCCATAAAACCTAATCACTAGTTCACTCAAGAACAGTATACCTCGTCATTTCCTTTTATTTTTGAGTAAAAGCACTTCGATAAATAGTCGTGCAGCTGAGCAATCTTCTCGTACTCTTAGACGCTATGGTCTTCAAAATTTGAATAGAAATTGATGGTGTAAGTTACCTAACCGGGCAAACTATACTAGACCAGGTCTAGGATTGTTTACTTGATTCGGAAAGTAAAGAGGTAAAAACACATAAATGACCGGAAGGACTGTAGTTGGAAACACCTGCAGCTCAATTGATATTATAAATATAGGAGAATACACGGGAGCTTTTACAAGGGAGTTTAGAGAAAATGAATTCGGATCCCTTCCTTTGAAGGTTACAGGAGTATATATACTAAGTTTGAAGGGAACAGGACATCGTGCACCCACGTTGCGGCACGTTCTTGGATGGTGGGAGATGATGGCCTTCGTCCTCTTGCTGCCTTGTCATCTTGCGAAGAATATTGCTCTCTTGTCACGTAGCACCTTGGATGGAATGTTCCAGCATCTCCAGCGATCTTCCACTGATTTTGGTCGCTACGCTCCTAGCCCCCTTTGGACTCTTCTCTACCGACACTTCACAACCCTAGATATCTTACCGGGTGATTCCTTAAGGATGAGCTTCCCGAAACGGGTGATAAACGAGACAGTAGAGTAGTTTGACCGGTGTACTATCCGAAGTATACCGGTCAACTTCCTGGTCGACCAGGTATCCTTTTACTGACGATTCAGGTCTCTCTCCTTAGGACTATCAACTTGACCGGTCAAACATTCAGACATTTCCTTTGACCGGTTCTGGGTGGATTACACCCATCAGAAATCATCCTATGTAGCACTCTAAGACACCCTATATTACACACATTGCACTCCTTATTGTTTTTCACACATTTGGCTATTTATGTCATGGATATCTTTCAATCATACATTCTTTATTATAATGAAGTATTTTAATTATTTCATTTACCATATTTATTGAGATCCATAATTTTAGAGGTTATTTTCATTCTTGTACGTATCACTTAGAGCCGTCGTGCCACTCCTCACTGCTTAAGCACATTTAGTAAACGAAATTGGAAGTGTATACCAACGTTTTTTGCAGTGTGAAATGGTCATGTTATGCCTACACTTTCTGGCAATTATGATTCACAATAATTAACTATACTTTCTGGCATTGTGTTATGCCCATGTTCAGGAAGTGTATACCAATTTAAACACATTTTTTAGCAGTGCGAAATGATCATGCTTTGGCAGTGTGGATATATGTTATATTATGTATGACGACGATGTGTTATGCCCATGTTTTAGAAATGTATACCAACTTAAACACATTTTTTGGCAGTGTGAAATGCAAGGACGGATTTGGAATTGCATCTACACGGGTTTCAATATCCCATAACAGTGCTATATTGGGTATTTTAAGCATATATCAGTGCTATGATGATACTTCTCCCAAATTTGAAACTATAAGAGGTAAAAAACTCATAATTTGTGTTTTGTAATAAAATAAAAATACAAACCGAATATTGAATTTAATAACGAATCGAATACAAATAATAATAATTATTCGAATAAAAAATGAATTTGAATATGAATAATAGTAATATTTTTTAAATATGAATAAAGTTTTATAATATTGAATTTCATGGCCTGTTTGGGAACTTGGATTTGGATTTAAAATCCAGATTTGATACAAATACCTTGTTTGGGAACCTAAAGAATTTGAATTTGAATTTCATCCAAATTCCTCTCATTAATAACCAACCCAATTGCAAATTCATATCCAAACCCATGTCATTTGAATTCCCTGGCCCAATTAAAATTAAGTCTCTACATTCACTCATCTCTC